GAATAATTTTTCTGTGCGGCGACAGAGGCCTTTACATATCCTTAGTAGGACTATCGATTGCATATAATCAGACCTTCCCGGCTTTAAGTCGTGTATAAAGTGGGCGGACCTGTGCGGAAGTACCCTGATATACACTTTAAGATTGTTGAACATGAAGGAAATGAACACGTTTGACTATATAACTCTATTTTACGTAATACATGTTACTAGTAGTAGACCTGAGTATGCATGAATGAATGACGAGAAACGGAAGTGTTCACTGTTGATTTTAAACATTTTTATTGAATTGCACTGTATAGGACAGGCAAAACTGACTATATCTTTCCTTTTCCGAGCAAAAACATTGCCACAAGACTTATAATCAATCGTGCCGATCACTGTTATTGATAACTTACTTTTTTCCAAAGTACGGCTGTGTGAGTTCGAGTTCGAACTGTAAAATTTTTTTTGAAGATCTGAAACGGCCTTGAGTTTTTGTATTTTGAATACCATCGATTCTAGGCTTCATAAAAAGAAAATGAAAGTTGAAATAACAATAACTACTATTTCACAAAAAATTGAAAACTTTGTACAGGAGACGGACATACAAAGTAATCCAGGTTTTAGTAAATTAGGTAGAAAACTTGTGTGTAGCGGCTATAGCAGCACCTAATGATGACTACATTTTTTTTCAATCGAGATTTTTTATTAAATGTGAAAGAGCAAGTTTAACGAAAAAAAGTCTATCTCAACGAACATTGTTACTTCCTAATAATTTTTTCTATTATAACAAGACTAATGTGTTGCAGGATCGGTGTAGAAAAAAACAAATAGAAATAATGACAAAAAAAATTTGGTTTCGTGAGTGTATTTCTAGTAGCTGGACTCGACAATCCACTATCCCAAAGATCTTTTAGAAAATTTTCTTTAAAAAAAGATTTTCAAAGTTCTTTTATACGAAAAGATTCATGATGATTATAAAGAAATCTAGTTTCTGTAGTTTTATTTAAGAAAAACGTTGACAATAACTAATAGTTGTTTGAATTGACGCGTATTCTTTTCATAAGGTAAATAATCTTATCATTTGACATGTATTTTGAGAAACAGTGTACAGTGAGGAAAGCAACAGTTGGTCGCACGGTAGATTGGTCGCATGTTTGATACTCCGAAAGGTATATAATAAATATACGATCACTGGTAAATCAGCTAATGAAAAAAGATAAAATAATCGATAAAAAGAAGAATCAACAATATTAATACGACATGATAGATTTTTTACAATTTGATTTTGGATCTAGTAATTATGATCTGATTACATTTTCGTCTATTGATCAATTTCAAATATTCGAAGAATTATTTATCAGTGGAAGGTAAATGTATTATTTTTCATTTACTAGCAATAGAATGATGATATTTATCTCTTCACAGTGTACATCTACCATATTTTATCGGTTATACACCATGCCCTCTGGACATAAAAATACTATAGCGCCAATCGGTTCTGCATAGATTTCAAGCACAGTTATTTATTAGTCTGAACTATTTATCCATTTTTAAATCCAATAATCGATTAAACCATATGTAAAAGAATCTGGCATAATTTTATTCCAGGAAAGTTTCGTCACAACAATAAATCTAGCAACAGTATATGACTGTTTTTTCTTCAACCGGTCTAAAATAGCATTCAGTTCAACAAAAACTCAGGTATGCGCCGTTTTTCTCAAGCTTATCTAAATCTACTATATTTCTTTATTATGAAAATTAGATCTGTAAAACAAATACTTCTCAAATTTTCTACAAAATTTCAACAAGGCTATAGTAAAAGAATTCTTCAGATGGTTAAATATCAGCAAGAGATTCGATGACTTGCAACTACCACTATTACAATTCAGCGAATAAATTATTTCGAACACACATATATACAATGACGGACAACAGCCTAATAAGCGTGTAAGATATAAATTGCCTATCATGAATCATATATAAAAGAATAATTAATCAGTAAATATGAATAAACAAATTTACCGAAGATCGACACCAACGACTTGTATCGTTCAATTATAATATGCGACCAACTCTACCTTGTGATTAATTGGCACGGCATATAACTGTTGTACATTCCAAACAAACTGTCTACCGCCTTCTTAAAGGTTACTCCGAGCTATTATCTTCTTGTTAATATACCAGAAACTTTCGTAATTTGACATTTGTTTTAGCGATACTACCTTTTTTTATTGTCAAACAAGTCTAGATTCCTTCATACTATACTTGTATCTATTAGACATATTGGTCACTGAACATTGTTATCTTAAACATAGGTGTTTTCGAAGTTGCGTCATTAGTAATATATTTTACTAACTCTATAATTTGACTTGACGCGTGAACAAAAGCATCCAAGGAAAACTCTCATTTCTTCGACTTAGTGTCCATTATATGCTTTCCATCCTATTGCACAGTCGTAAGTAGAAATATCAGAGAAAATAGTGTGTTTTAGTTTTGTTAAATAAAAGTTTTTCCAAAAAGTGATAAAAATTATAGTCTGTCTTTTGTAGTATCTTTTTCATAGACAACATCTTTCAAACAGAGCTGTGAAAGTATTCAAGTCTTAATTTTTCTTAAATCTTTTCTATATTCTTTTGTATATTTTGTTTGCAGTAACAGACACATCCTCTTATTAACTTGTATCTCGTGAAAGTCTTGATTACGGAGATAAGCGAACGTTAGTTTTAGAATTCAGACTGTTTTGGTATTCCGGTTCGTTTGAGTATTGATGTTATATGTGACTGCGCAATCTTGGATATTACACTAGAACGAACACAATACAACAATGTATCACAATTTTTTCCATCACGTAAAATATTACGATTCGCGCATGAAAAACATTGTGTGGCAGGCACTTGAATCCAGATCAAAGATACATGTATCGAGTCTGAATCTAGGTGCAGTAAAATACATGTAAATTTCATCTAGCTTCAATTGGGATCAATTAACTGTTGTCGATTATAATACAGCAATGAGGTGCACAATTAATCGCTCCTTCAGCTAAAATATTTCTGCCAGTTTGCAGCTAGATAAATGTACATTTTAATCTAGCTAATCTAGATGCAACCAAAGACTACTGCTAGATTTTCTTGCTTACTTAACAGACAAAAACAGACTGATTGTAATGAAATCAAGCGATAATTAAGAGATACGAATCATTATTTTTCTTGAGCTACAATATATAACTACGAGATATGTATAAACGACGTGAATATTTCTAGTTTAGAAGTCATACTGGATTATCACAGTATCGTATATTGACATCGAAAACATTATTGCAATATCACGTATCGCACATTAATAGGGAACACGAGAAAAAGTCTAGAGCGACTAAATCCATTAGCTGTAAAAATATCGATCACTGTTTTAAAAAAGTTTGGGAAACGTTTAAACCTTACTTTTTTTCAAATAATACATGATAATGTTTTAAAACACACCCTTATCATAAAAAGGCCAACGTATTCTAATTCAAAGTCCGAATGAGTCTGGTTTCTGAAAACGATTGCGGCATGTACATATGTATATAGATATGGATATATATGCAAAAAATGACTTGGATTTTGTCTTTATGCACTGCTTTAACCTCTTTGTAGTGCTGACCAGGGTGGTGATTGTGAATCCTTGTGCAGTGTGTTGGGAACATTTGCTGATAAATGTAATAGTATTGGAGTTTCTGTTCGATGGCGAAATAGAGATCGTTGTCCATTGCAATGTGAACAAGGAAAAGTTTATATGTCCTGTGGATCGCCGTGTCCTCAATCCTGTTTCACAAATAAAATGGATTTTGAATGCGATGATTCCGGATGTGTTGAAGGTTGTTTTTGTCCGGATGATATGGTAATGGATGACAGTGGTGGTTGTGTTAAAAAATCAGCCTGTCCATGCTCTTTCAACAATAAAATATATCCAATAGGTAGTGTCATTGAACAGAACTGTGAAATATGTACTTGTAGCAATGGAAACTTCGAATGTAACAAAGTAACAGATTCGTCAACCTGCAATCAAAATTGTTCGTTGAATCAGTTTATGTGCAACGGAACTGACAACTGCATTCCAAAATCGTGGAAATGTGATGAGACTCGGGATTGTGAAGATGGAAGTGACGAAGTTGGATGTTTCTGTCATGAAGATAATTTTCAGTGCTCAAGTGGACAATGTATTAATTCTACTTTGCGCTGTGATGGACTACCAGATTGCAGAGATTCAAGCGATGAAGTGAATTGTTGTAAGTATTATGGCCAAATTATAATGATAGTATCTCCTGAATATTGTCTTTTGTTTAGCTTATGTGACACCATGTAAAGAATTCAAATGCGCAAAAAGTAACTTATGTATTCCAAATACATGGGTATGTGATGGAACCGTCGATTGTGGCAAAGATGATGATTCAGATGAAAGTGGTTCTTGTAGTAAGCATCATTTAGATTAGTCTGTATAAAAACAGCTAACCCTTCTCATTAATTAGAAATGGATACATGTGATAAAGTTAGTGGCAGATATTTTACTTGTATCGAAGATTCAAAATGTTTACCAATAGAAGAAAAATGTGATAATCACATAGATTGCGATGATCAGTCAGATGAACGTGGCTGCACTTGCCATTGTCAAGACAAATTTACATGTTCATCAATTTGTCAATGTATTGATCCAAATCGTGTATGTGATGGTGCGCCCGATTGTATTGATCATTCTGATGAAAACAATTGTAGCTGTTCATCCCTTGAATATAGTTGTCTTGACGGAAAATGCATTAATCGGACACTCCTTTGTGACGGTATTCGGCATTGTACAAAAGGAGAAGATGAAACGCATCCAGACTGTTGTAAGTTTGAGATAAAACAATATTCAAATACATGTATGATATTTTCTGGTTTTCTATAGCTCTAATGAATCTTACAACAACCAGTTCTACTCCGATAATAACTCCTATTCTCTTTGCGTTTCAAACGGCTCCTGGCATCTCTCCTGCCACAACATTTCCTAAAACGACTAAAAAGTCATGTGAAATTCAATTGGGAATGGTTAACTCTCAATTTGTATCAACACCAAAGCCTTCTGATCGAATAATTGGTCACTTAGACGATATCAATCCGGGAAAGAAGGGTATTACGTTTCTGAAATCGTTCCGAATTCCATTCATTGTCATACCATTTAAAAAAAGAACAACTGGTATGATAGAAAAGGTTCAGATTTCCGAAACCAGCAATGTAAATCAGATTCGAGTAACGCTAATCGACAAAAAACAAAAGCCAATTAAAGGTTTAACGGGCAGAGTGGCGAGAATCACATCAGTTAAACAACGTTCGCCAAGAATCAAAAACTTTTCATCAATATATGTCAATGGGCTAAAAATCGAATTTTTGCAAACGTTTGACAGGCAACCTCCTGCTTATATCTCTGTTTCATTCACGGCATGTTTTAAACAAAAGAAACCGTATTTATATACCACAACGCTACGAGTTCCAAAGCGAACAACGCGAAGACCTCATATGAAAGGTTGGTACTAGAATATCTTGTATTTACTTAGATAAATGTAGACGTAGAGATATTTTTACAACGTACACAGTTTTTGTCAAAAAACCTAGGGGTCTTAGATTTTGGTATATTTAAAATCAAGATGAGCGAAGAGATTCACAAGATATACGGACGTATGCAAAATATCCTCCATTGCTATTTATCCATTTTTTATTAGATTGTACAAAGACAGATGCGTTAAATCCATGGGTAGCTAAATCTGTCATCTCAAAATTAGGTGGTACTGTTCCAGTTAAGAGTAGCTACACAAACATGTTATTGGGTTTTGGCGGTGTAACGTTTAACACATCTCAAGCAGTGATCGATGTTAAGTTTAAGAACAATATCATCAGTCATATAGTAGCAGTATCTATTCCAAATACTATAAACAATGTTCGACGTTTGTCCATTCAGATATACAACATAGATAATAAAACACTGTTTTCTAATATTTCGGCACGCGAGTTAAATCCTAAAGTGATCGTCAATAAAACATTTCATGCATCATTACTACGTGTATCAATACTAGAAACATCAGATGATTTTGCACCATACAATGTAACCTTGTCAATAATGGGATGTTTCTATTCCACAAAAGAACATTTATCAACCACCACACATCCTACATCTGTAACCGTTAGTCAAACATCTACAATCGGTATGCCTTATTTTGACAATAAATAGCTCTGTGTTGATGCTTCTTACTTCTTCCAGGTTTGTGTAAACGTATTGATGCTATGAACCCATTATATGCGCACAAAATTATAGGACAATTCGGCGGTACTCAACCCATAAATAGTTCATTTATCGATTTAATGACAGACGGAAATGGAACTAGCTATAACAAAAAGAATCCAGTAATTATCATTGGTTTTCAATCACATGTGCTTGGACAAATATCAGAAGTTTCACTTCGTTCTAATATTCATCAAAACATAAGAATATTTCAAATTGAACTTTATGATATTGACGATAATTTAATATTGTCCAAACTATCAACTGAAACACTACACATTCAATTAACACTAGAAGACATGGTTTCATCAATCAAAATTTTAATTATTGATACTTGGGATGAAAAACCAATATCCGGTATAACATTATCAGTAATTGGATGCTTCTCTATCTTACCAACTTTATCCACAACTCCTACCATCATATCAACACAAGCTATAACAACAACTCAGTCACCTACAAAAACTGCAACGACACCAAGTAAAAATTGTTCTTATTTATTTTCGTTCTTGAATGATGGTATTGAATGTGGTAGTAAGCTTACATACTAAACCTTCAATATTTTTCGCATGACTGTATATATTTTTTGACATAGTATGTCGGTTAAACTGTTACTTTACGTTTAGGTCTTTGTCATCATTTGGAATTAATGAGTCCACAATATGGGAAACAAATTTTGGCTGGCATTATTGGTAGTCCGCTGGTAAATGGAGAACTAATTGATATTTTATATTCAAGAACAGGAGTGACCTTTTCTCACTTGAATCCACACATTGATATTGTTTTTAATGAAAATATTATTAGTCGCTTGAATAAAATCGTTATTCCAACGAAACCAGTTAGTAATTTACCAGAATTTCGAGCAGAATTCTTTGATAAAGACAAAATTATCATACATTCTCTAAAATCAAAACGACAACAATTAATTTTAACAGATACGTCGTTGATGGTAATCGGTGGTATACGAATAACCTTTGTTGACACTAATGATAAGCGACCACCAACAAATCTGACATTATCGATTGATGGATGTTTTGCAGTAATGGTGACAGAGAAAACAGAACCTACACTCGCTACAACATTTTCCACAACAACCCGTGGTGAGTTCAAATTTTGGATTTTCATTTCATTTTTGAAAATTTTGTTTTGTTTTTTAGAACAATGTACGGAAATAGAAGCAATGAGTAAGCCTTTTAGGGACAGTGTAATAGATGGATTTAGTGGAACTAAACCGGTTAATAGTTCCTTCAATGATTTGCTGTTTGAAAATAGTGGTGTTACTTACGCTACTCAAAATCCATCTTTATATATCATATTCAAACCAAATATTGTAGCGAATATAAACAATATTAAATTTTTAACAGATCAGTCAAATGTAAAGAAAATTCAAGTTGATTTTATTGACAAAGAAAAAATAGTTTTACAAACGATTACCATTAATAGTCAAACGATGATGAATTCAACGGAAGTTAATGTTTTTGCCCTAAGAATAGTTATCCTTGAAACATTAGATAATCAACTACCATATGGAGTACGAATTTCAATTAGAGGATGTTTCGGCATTTTGCCATCATACTCGACACCTTCTCCAAGTATAATGACCACGCATCTAACCACATCATCAACACAGCGTAAGTTTATACGAGTTCTAGTTAGTGCATATAACATATGCACATATTTGTTTTAGTTCCATGTAACGAACTCGATGTTTTAAGTAAATCTCATTCAAATAAACTTATCCAATATCTAGCTGGAACAAATGTGAATAATGAAACAGTGACAAGTTATCTGAATGATAATCATAGTATTACTTATAATATTTTGTCTCCGTACTTACTCATCGTATTTAAACCAAATGTCTTTGCGCAGCTTAAATCCATATCGTTGTTGAGTAATTCAACGAATGTCGGGGTATTTCAAGTGGATTTGTTAAATGAAGATAAAATAATTATTGAAACACGGAGATCTAAAGCAAATGTGCTAAATCTCATCTTTAGTGGTGATACGCCACAAATAGCCGCATTCCAAATTAAACTCATTAAAACAAATGATAATCAGCCACCTCGAAATGTTCGCCTATCTATAAAAGGATGTTTTGCAACTATGCCAATAACGAGTACTCAAGCAGAAAAACTTTCAATAACAACAATGCCACCCTATACAACAACAACTGCGGGTAAGTTGTTTTTATTGTTGATTTGTTTACATGCCTACGGTATCTCAACTAAAACGAACAAATTACTAAGTTGTTCGTTTACAACAAATTAGTAATAAGAGTTAAATGTACTATCTGAAAAAAGAGTAGTTTAAAAACCTCTCTAAACAGGGTTCAGAAGAACTCTTCAAAAACTGACTGCGAAATTCAACATGGATATACATCACTTTGCATTTTCTGTAGGTCATTTTAACAGGTATATTCTATCTATATTGTACGAAAAACTAACCAGCAGTGTCTGTGTTTTTTCTGCATTTGGTATATGGCTTTCTTTTTCGTCAAATCTCTGCCCCTCTGTTCATAATCATCCGTATCTGCATGATGTTTCTCTCTCTATCGTGTCTTCTATCCGTTGTCAATATTATTGAACTGCAATGAATCGTAATCAGTCATTACTGATGTCAGTCAAAAAAACGATCCTTATTGATACCAGTACTACGCAAGATGTTATTAGAAATTTGTGTTCGATCGAAACTCTCCGTATATGAGCACCGTCTTGTCTATTATTAGAAAGTAAAAATGATAACTAAGAACAACGCTGCAAGATTTTTCCTTTTTAATAATTTCAGTTTCTTGTCGTGAACTTGATGTTATGACCAAACCATACTCAAAGAAACTCGTTAAATTTTTATTCGGAACACAACCAGTCAATGGCACAGTCATGAATTATTTAGAACAAATGAATAATGAGGGTGTGACGTATAATACTTCACAATCAACTTTACTTCTCGTATTTGAATCGAATATATTCGCTATTATCAAATCAATATCATTATTAAATAATTCAACGAACGTTATAGTATTTCAGGTAGATTTATTAAATGATGATCAAACAGTTTTGAAAACATTGACATCGAAATCAGGCGAATTATACCTTAACACCGACACCGATTCATATCCAGCAGTCGCAATACAACTTAAATTCATTAAAACAAATGATAATCAGCCACCTCGAAATGTTCGCCTGTCTATAAAAGGATGTTTTGCAACTATGCCAATAACGAGTACTCAAGCGGAAAAACTTTCAACAACAACAACGGCACCCTATACAACATCGACTGCAAGTATGTTTATAAGTAGCAATTCGTCTTATATTAATTTACATGGTTTAGAATAGTCTTTTCACGATATTCATCATAGTTATTCATCGTTAAATCTTGCAACAACAATGGTTTAGAGGTTTTTATTTATTTCAGGTTCATGTGTAAGATTGAATGCAATGGAAAAAACTCATGTGAACAAAATCATTTCTGGCATTCGTGCCGTACCTCTAGATAGTAATCAAGGAACAGATGTAGTCAAAGGAGAAGTTGGGTTAAAATTTAATAGTACTAAAGCATATTTCGATGTTGTTTTCAAATATGGTGTAGTCGGTAACATAGATCAAATATTGCTGAATGACATTCCTCAACACAATGTAAAACAATTTAAAGCTGAATATTATGATATCAATAATAATATCATCGATGAACAAATCGCAGACGCAACTATAATCAGAAGAGAAGTACCAGACGTTTCAAGTGTACGCATCATAATACTAGAAACAATCGATCACAAGCCTATAACCGGCGTGACGCTTTCACTAGTTGGCTGTTTTTCTTTCATACCTAATTGGTCAACACAAACAACGACAGCATTAGAAACGTCAACAACTTCAATCAGTACGTATTTTGACTACAGACTTATAATGAAAGTTTTCATTAGTTTGTTGCATGATCTTAAATCGAATTGAATGTTACAATCGCATCTAATGAGCATAGTTAGTTCTTAGAATGTTTGCAGTATTTTGAACAGATTAAAGTAGCTTTCAGAAGGGGAAAAATGGTATCAGTCAGATAGATAAAGCTGGTTCTAGCCTGGCAGATCTACTTATGAGTTATATAACTTTCGGCCCGGACTTTCGATCCGGTCCCAAACGCGGGTGATTATTCGGTTCGAGTCTAAATTCCCTCAGGACTTTCGATCCCGGCTCAAGTTTCCCCTCTAGTCTCTGTCGGAATAAAGCGTAATAACACCTAGGGCTCAGCAGGACGGCATAGTGTTAAGCAGTATGAATTTATATTACACTGCAGTTATAGCGTTCTGCTCAGCAAGATGGCGCAGTGCTCAGGCATGTATGTTGTAGTTGAAAGTTAGAAATTGATCAGAGGAACATCCTTCAGTGTCCTGCGGAGCACTAAACTTTTTTATGTTGGCACTTTGCTTAGGAGAGTAATAATTCTCTCATAAGACAACAGCACTCCTCAAGAGATCAAAGCAGACTGCTGAGCACTACATTTTAATCTAAATGCGTACTGCTGAGCACTACGCAGTGTACCAACTATTCATAGCAATACGGCTTTTTATGGGGGAGTTAATGAGGGGAACTTGGACCCAGTGGCCGAAAGTGCGACGGGAAGTTAGATTCGGGTCGAACGTCCTTCTCGTTTCAACATGACTTTGGGTCCTGGGCCGAAAATTCCGATCTCCCCTATTTATTTGATCTACCGTCTTTGTTCGGTCGAAATGGCTAAAATCTGTTCAAAATACTGCAAATACTTTAGGAGCTGATCATAATCACCCTGTCTAAACGTGAGTACAGTTGTGATATTCTCATCCTAAATGAGTGTAGTTAATCAAGGAATATAGACAAAGTATGTTGATGCGAAAAAAGCGATATCACTGGGATGAGATGAAATGTCTTACAGCTGTCTAAGAATCTATACATAATGGTATAAATTCTATGTATCAAAAAGAAATCGCGACCATATTTTTTTAGAACATTGCAATTCATTGGATCTAATGGATGTTAAAAATACCAAACGATTACTTGCCGGATATAGTGGTACTTTAGAAATTGATGGATTATCACTAGCTGTTTCCGTTAAAGATAAAACTACAACTATTCCGTCAACCAAACCTTATTTATTTCTGGTTCTAAAATCTGACGTGGTTGGAGAAATCGAATCGGTGTCAATCAATTCGATAAACCATAATATATCACAAATAAAAGTAGATTTAATAGATCATGATGATACTATACTAAGTGAACTTGTATCAGATGTGTCAGACAATCCGACCATTAACAATTTTCCACCTGTGTTAACATCAGTTATACGGATAGTGATAGTTAAAACGAAGAATGATCAATGGACGGGGAGTAATGTTAAGTGGTCGGTCAACGGTTGTTTTTCACATATTAATCGAACCACTGACACTACTACCCCTGCTGTGAGCACAACTACAACCTCTACAACTCGAATCACTACATTACATACTTGTAAGTGCGAAGTTAATCAAATAAATGACCTTGGAGAATCTTTTTTGTGTTTAGTACCACATTGCCGACGATCAAACATCATGTCTCATAACAATAATTTAATTCCACATATCAGTGGTACCAAACCACTTCGAGGAAACTTGATAGATTTAATGACTGAAGCATCTGGTGTTGCTTATGCTGAAAAACAGCCGGTGATCGCGATAGAGTTTCCGACGGGCATTGTAGGCCACATTTACGAAGTACGTGTTGCAGCAACACAACTAAGCAACGTACGAATATTTCGTACACAACTGGTCGAAGTTAAAAATGGTTTGCTGTATACTCTTACCTCACAGCCAAATGAAAAGCCGGGGATAATAGGATTTCCACCTGTACTGTCGTCTGGTATAAATATTACAATACTGGAAACAGTTGACAATGAACCACCCACACATGTATCAATATATATCGATGGATGTTTTTATCAAACGACGGAAACTCGTGTCTCAACTTCGACAGTTAGCACGTCGATGCCAAGTAAGTAAATTTTCTTTATATGCACCAGTATGTTTAGTTTAAATATTTTGTGCTCATTATTTAGCCACACAGCCAACAAGTAAATCTGTCTTACATTGCCGACATTCGCCGTGGACGCAATGGGGTGTTTGTTCAACATCATGTGGAAAAGGAATTCAAGTGAGACTTAGAAATGTTATTGAGGGTGTTTGTATGGATCCATTAATAGATTATCGTATATGTACGTTGGAACCGTGCACTTGCATTATAACGAAAGAATTATACACTTCAAATATCCACGAGAGTGTGCCAGTCGATGGTGGGTAACACTAACTAACTTGTTTATATTTATTAATACAAGTCTGAAAGAGAAGACCATGATAACGGGTGTTTCAGAACGTAAACGGTCTGTTAACGTTGTTAGTGTACTATCCTTACCAGTACAAAAATTTTATTCAACTTTTTCATAAGCACATGACATATAATTCTTTTCTACCAGAAGCGAAAGAAGAAATATGAAATTATACTTTTCTTTAACGAGAAGAGCTCTACTTCATATTTCAACGATAGAATAATACCCATTATCATTTGATTCAAATCATTCTTCTCCTTTAGAATTTGTTGGTTTTATAAAAGATGATAAGGGATCATCGACATCAAATTCAACAAAACTAATACATATTGGCGATCATGTAGAAAAAAATTCTGTTATTTATTCACACAATTGTTACCAGTTTAAATGCACTGATAATGGAGTAATTACGAAACGTTCAGAAAATTGTATAAGTAAATTGTTTGTTTTACTCTCTGATATTGATCGTCGGAAGAAACAGTCTGTTTTTTCTGTAGGAGAATGTGTTTGGCTTCCATGGTCTCCTTGGAGTAATTGTAGCAAAGAATGCGGCCAGAACGGTACCCAACATCGTTTAAGATACCCTCTCAATTTATTATCAGTCCCTCGCACGTGCAAACAACCACAAAAAGAAATGCGATCTTGTGTAACATCACCATGTACTGGTCCTTGTCGTCTGACAACATGGACAAAATGGACTGTGTGCTCAAAACCATGTGATCTTGGCATTCAAACACGAACTAGACAATTTCTTTCACTTCAACCTAATTGTACTGATGAACTTATACACACACGAGATTGTAATCCACATTGTTGTACCGGTAATTTGTTTTACAGTAAATGCAGTAAGAAATTTAAATTTTTATTTATTTAATTCAAGGTAAACCGCAATGGCATGAGTGGAATCCATGGAGTACATGCACGAAAACGTGTAATGGTGGCGAGAGAACTCGTTTACGGAAATGTATACAACCAAATCCAAATTGTCAAACAACTCCTTGCAATGGTTCTCATTTACAAACAGAGTCTTGCAATACGGAAATGTGTCGTAAGTGCTTTAATCCAATATGAGAAAAAATTTAAATAAAACGTGTTCGTTTTTAGCTAATCAAAACTGTACGAAAGGTAAAGTTTTCAGTAACTGTAGTAATTCATGCTATCATACTTGCTCAACTTTGATGTGCACAAAACGATGTATTGAGCCATCAAAATGTTTACCGGGATGTATTTGTCCATTTCCCTCTGTCATGAATGCTAATGGACAATGTGTTGATGAAAAGGATTGCACATGCGAGTATAATAATCGAACTTTGCTTCCTGGCCAGATAACGGACATAAACACAAAATGTAAACAATGGTGAGAAGAAGAGACCATTTATTTAATAAAACTGTACTAAATACTTTTTCTGTAATGTTTAGTCAATGTAAAAATGGTTGCCTAACGTGCAAGAAAATAGAAAACTGTTTGAATGAATGTCAGTGGACTGAATGGTCATCCTATGGTGTGTGTTCCTCTCCATGTAATGGTCAACAAGCACGTTATCGTACACTACAAGGGTCTTCTTGTAACGAACGTCAAATGGAAGTACAAATAGAAAGTAGAGCATGTTCATCAGCTAATTTAACAACATATACAAAAGGTTGTTCACAATGTCAATGCTTAAATAACCAAGAAAAATGTACAACTAAATGTGGTATCACTGAAGAAGTTTGTAAAAATATTAGTGATCCTATATACAATTATTCTTATGTATTACCTCCTCCTGGCCAATGTTGTGGAGAATGCAATAAAACAAGAAGTAGGTATCATTCGTATATGTATATATGAACTATTTTTTTTTCCACGCCTTTATTCAGAGCCGGAGAAATGCGTTGTTCAACAACTTCCAATGGATTATGTTTCAAATGGAACATGTATATCTATTAAGCCTGTTAGTCGTCAACAATGTTATGGAAATTGCATTTCTTTCGATTCGACAACAATAAATACATTCGAAAAAATGCAAGATAGCACTCAACATTCCTGCACTTGCTGTAGTCCAAACAGAATCAAAATGTCACCCATACCAATGCAATGTACATTTTCAAATAAGACGATTTTTACACAGATACCTTATTATCAGATTCGATCATGTGCTTGTAGAGAATGTGTTTGAAATAGAGCAATTTATATTTTGTATCACGAACAAAGGCTGTAGGCGATGCTTTTCCCAGTTTCTATTGTTGCATAAGAAAAGTAAAAGTGAAAGAATAGAAAAGATAATATAAGTATGATGCAACCTATGAAAGCATCTCAGAACAATAAGACATGTATTTTTTATTGCATCTGTTAGCTACAATTTAGAAAATTCGTATATTACTTCGAAAAAAAACGAAAATTGTCAGATGTCTGAATCCAAATACCATTTTTGACCGATGGTAAAAGAATTATTATAACGAACACTGTGCGTATGGGATATTTAGTAGCTTTAGTAGTCTTTTTCAATGTGAATTGCAAAACATTGATAATTTAGAAAAAACATTTCTGATCAACAAAAGACGCCTACCAGCTCTGAGTGATATTCTAATCAAATGTTATAAGAATCTTGGTGGAAGTCCTGCATATACCGGACACTGACGCCACCGTATCTCAAAAGTAAAGGTCAGTGCATCGCATTCGTATTTGCAGGATTTCTCCGTCAAATTAAGTGACGAAGAGCTCGAGCTGGTCTCAAATTGAGCCTAGCATGTAAAGCTAGAGTCCGATCTTTGGGTTTCTGACTATTTGTTTATGCTATGACTATTTCACTAAAGATGTCGAGAGGCAGTTTTCATATTTCGAGCTTCCCATCAATTAACAAAGTAAAATATCAAAACTCGGGCTCTGTTAGCCACTGGCTGCATGTCTTGTAGTCATTTTAGGACCGTTTCGAGCTTCCCACGACGTTTCATTCCAAAAAAATTTTACATTTCCGAACAGTCTCATTTTGTCTCTTTATCGAGTGATAAACATCTCTGAAAAGATGATAGATAGCGTGGCCAAAACTTTATCGGAAAGATACAATCATAACTGAGACTGTACCCTGAAGTTTCTGTCGAGATCAGACTTATGATTGCCTCTGGTGTTCAACAGATATTCCGCATATCATCGAGTTTAAAAAGAGATTCAACACGGTCGATCCAGGTGCTCCATAGTTTTTTACTAGGCGTATCGCTAAAAGATACGTACAAATTGGATTGTTGGCAAACTAAGTTTTCTGGAACTTAACGGTATATAGCGCCGTCTTTAGAAAGTGATACATTAAGCCTTTTCTGATGTGTGGATAAAATATAGCATCAGTTAGCGCTCACAGAAGAAAAATCTTTTTTCTACTAGAGGCACCTGGGATAATTAGAACGCGGTCGAAGCATTTTGCGGTATTTTTCTCGTAACTTTGAAAACCTAAACGTTTTTACAGAACTTCCAATGCAAAAGTTGTGGGCGATGGTAGTGGGCACTGAATGGGGCAAAAATCAATCGAAAATCTCCTCAGCAAAAGGATTGGGAGCCGTTTTACTGTGTGAGGGTCCAAAACGTTCTTATTTCCCGTAAGTGGGAAATTAGAATGTTTGCTGTGCCTGTATGGGATAAATGGAACGCATTTGCCAAAAGTAATGGGATTTTCTTTAAAATGTATTTTCTATTTTATATCTCTATTTCACACTATAGCTACAAAGTTCCTCAAAAAGAGATTTGGAGAATTGTTTCACTCATGAGCTAATGTGCGTTGGAAAGTCAATGCACGTACATGACGGAGAGCACGAAGAGGATTTCTCCATGTTCATACAACTGGAACATGGAGAAATGTAAAGGATTATTTTGAAAAAATTTTCTAATCACAATAAAATCTGCAAATCATATGAGCCGTGATGTATGCCTTATGTGAAATGTAGAGGAAGTTTGTCATCCGGAAGATAATCACTGTAACAAGCAACTGTCAAGGACGATTGCCTAGCTTTTGGTGAGGGATGAGGATCGCTGATACCATTAGAAGAAGGAGGATCAGTGAGATCAAGAACCTCATTCTATAAATATTTTTTCAATGCCTGTCGTTGTTCTTAATATGGTCATTAACACAACTTTGCGTGATTTTTAGTTTATAGACCGACTATGGCAGCCTACTTCGTGTTTCGAAGAGAAAACGTTTAAGAAGACTGTTCGTAATAGAAACAGTCACTGAAATGTTTTCAGATTGTGCACTATATGTGGGACTATTTGCTGCAAAATGTGGAACAAGATTGGCACGCATATTATGAGGTTGGTTACTACGACTCTTAGGTTTAATTAATACCGTGTGTTCCAAAAGTCCAAATGAAAAGCAAAACCTTTTTTAACTTTTTAGAAAAAACATTTTTCAGTAAATAATTTATTAAGAAAAGGTTCTAAAAAACCTCAGTCCCACTATAATAAATCCAAACAATTCTTTCAAGTATTAACAAAAATGTCGAAACACATCAAATAAAACTTGAAACTTTCCTCCATTAAGCAAAGAAATGACCTTGAAGTTTAGTTAAGTTGACGGAGTTATTAAAGTTTGTTTTTCATTTATGCTTTTGGGACATCCAGTATCAATTAAACCTAAAAGTTGTAGTAACCAACCTCACAATATGAATGTCAATCTTGTTCCACATTTTGCAACAAATAGTTCCACATATGATACACAATCCTCTTCGTGCTCTCCGTCATATTCCCGAGTACGTGCATTGACTTTTCAAAGCACATTAGCCCGTGAGTGAAACAATTCTCCAAATCTCTTTCAGAGGAACTTTGTATCTATAGTGTGAAATAGAGATATAAAATAGAAAATACATTTTAAAGAAAATCCCATTACTTTTGGCAAATGCGTTCCGTTTATCCCATACAGGCACAGCAAACATTCTAATTTTCCACTTACGGGAAATAAGGACGTTTTGGACCATTCCATAGTAAAACTGCTCCCAATCCTTTTGCTGATGAGATTTTCGATTGATTTTTGCACCATTCGGTGCCTGCTACCATCATCTGCAACTTTTGCATTGGAAGTTTTGTGAAAATTTCTAGGCTTTCAAAGTTACAAGAAAAATACCGCAAAACGTTTTGACCGCGTTCTAATTGCCCCAGATGCCTCTATTTATTTGGGTTAGTCTCGATTCGTCCCTTTCTCTTACACATTTGACGAACTGAACTGAGAAAAAAAATTAAGACGAATCGAGAGAAGATACCGTTTAATTTTTAAAGTTTTTTGCATTTATTACTATTGTAGCTCATAAATGTTTTATTTATCTATTGAAAAACCATATAAAAAAGGTACTGTTAATATCAAGTAGTTTGGATTCCCTAGAGTTCTCTTATTTAACTGCCGTACTTTGCTATATTCTTGCATTTAAACGGTTCATTATGCTGTAAACCGTGAAAAAGTGTACGCCAATAAATGCATTTGGTTTTGTGGGACCTCGAAAAGATTTTGAACTGTACTGTTTCTTTTATATAGAAAGGGCAATAAATTAAGCTCGTTAGAAGTATATCAGATTACACACATGGAACACATTCGACATTACATAGGAAAAAAAGAAGCTGAAAGTACATGAAAAAAAAATATAACACTTTATAGTAATAACATCACAAGGCACTTTATCGTTTTGCTTCTAACTGTTTTTCGAGTTGTTGTACTCGATTTTGTGCTTCTTTCAATGATATATCCAATGTCATTGATTTTTCTTCTAATGACGCTGCACGTGCTTCACTTTCACTTTAACGAAAAGAAAACCAAATATAAAGGATAAAATATAGTCATTTTTTGAACTTGAAACCTTTTACATACGTTAATTGTTGCTGTAATTTATTAATCGTTTTTAACGCATCAAAACCAGTTTTAGCTGATTTCGATGAGCCATGTTCACTTTGATTATCAATATCCTCCTCATCTCGTAAAGTTGCTCCACGCTGTACAGTAATTAACTGACGTCTTTCGGTTAAACCACCACGACTAATCGCTTCGAATGATAAATTATCATCGACATCCTAAACAAATTTTGTTATATATATATGTAGTATTGTAGTTATTCTCTACTACTTTTCGGGTTGCAAATCTTGATGATTTATCAGATGAAATGGGTCGCTGTTGTTGCTCTTCTTGCTCTGTTCGAGGTTCGCCTTGTTCATTTAATGGAATTTCTCGCTTTGGTTGACTTATGTCAATGTGAGTGGAATCACCAGTTAGTTCGGCAAGGATTATCTTCGATGAATACACCCAATCATTGCATTCATCCTACAATTATGAATTACCGCTTGAATATATGAGATAAGAGAAACGTCCGTTCGCATGCAAAGAAATATAAACACAATCATGCATTTACAAGAGGATGAAGAAGACTTCAACACACGAAATAGTTGATACCTGAATGTTTTGCTGAAAGATCATGGAAAAATAATCAATTCATAATAAAAAGGCTAATGAGCGTAGACCTATTGTTTAAAGTAGAATTCCTGCTCAATAAATTTGGCGAACGAAGTCTTAACGCAGTGGCGGATCCAGCCAGCAAAAAAGTTATTTCTTCCCAACAGAACTGTCTGATGAGGAAAGGTCGTGCAAAGGTGTGCAATCGCTTTTTCCTCGACTCTAGCGGACAATAGGTAATCGACTGCGCTAAATCGGAATGTGACATCGGTTTGTGCTGTTAGACCTCCAAGGACCGGGTTTCTGGAAAACTCGGTTTTCAGAAACTCTAAAATATAACCAAATTCTTTCTTAATGAGGCATGATTGTAGATCGCAAATTTCCGATTAAAATGAGATATCTCCCAGCTCTACACGACCTTCCTTTGCAAAGTTATAGAATTCACACGAAAAGCCCTAAATTAATTTCTTTTTATTTCTGCAGCGTTGGGCCGACAATGAACATTTAGGGCTTTTCGTGTAAATTCTATAACTTTGCAAAGGAAGGTCGTGTACAGCTGGGAGATGCCTCATTTTAATCAGAAATTTGCACGCTACAATCATGCCTTATTAAGAAAGAATTTGATTAATTTTTAGATTTCTGAAAACCGGGTTTTCCAGAAACTCGGTCTCTGGAGACCTAGCAGCACAAACTGATGTCATATTCGGATTTACCGCAGTCGATTACCTATTGCCCACTAGAGTTCAAGCAAAAAGCGATTGCACACTTGGGGACCTCTCCTCATGAGAAAAAATTCGTTGTACGGCGATCGTTCACGTATCAAAGAAAAAGTTTCAGATCCGCCGTTGTCTTAACGTATACTTAGTTTGTTGAGATGAGTAATCTGTCACTGGAATCTTTTCATTTACCTGTAAACGCTTTAGATCAATGACTTCTTTTTCGGCATTGGTTTCTTGATGCATTTGTTTTGTAAACATTTCTTCAGCAGCTAACGCAGCACAACAACTATAAATATAGATACATAAAATTTAAAAAATATTGTGTATGTGTGTGCCTACACTCACCTAACTATATATTTGGTTAATGTTAATAATTGTTCACATATTGTTTTTTCATTTGAAATTAATTTTTCCACCGGTTCTTGACTACATTTCAAATGATGTTTAGCTTCTTTCGATAAATGCTTTTGATCTGGAGCTAAACTAATTAAAATTTGAATAAGCCAAAAAACCATTGATGAATCTGTAACTAAGATCTAAATAAGAAGAGTGATTTCACGTTATAATAGTTTGAAAGACAACAGTGATTGAACAAACCTCTTCTAATATCCTTCCATCTTGACTTTCAATATAGTGTCTTAATGATATCAATCCTTTATTTGCCTGTTGTAAAACTGTCTGACCAACAACACTATATAATACAAAAATCTATGTAAAAAAGTCAGTAAAAAATATACAAAAGTCTTTTATTTTAATAGATGTGTGATGCAAATTAAAGAAGTACTGCACAAAATATAATTAAAAATAATAGATATTTTGTGTAATAAATTTTACTAATTGTATTATAAATCCTTAAAGATGGATCGAAGATTGATATATGATTTGTTTAGCTTTCATACTGAGTATTTAACGGTAACCCTCTCTTTTTCTGGGACATTTTTGATTTTGAGTTGAATCTAGACTAATGCTGAGAAAAATCTCTCGGCTACAAAATAAAATTATTTTCAGCGTTCCACAATCACTTTTGCACAAGTGATGAGTTTTCAGACTTAAAAAGTTGAGAAATTCAATTTTTTTCAATGTTATGACTTTTCTCTCCGTTCCAGTGCCTTTAAAAATTTTTATATATAGTTCGATAGAACTGTGAAGTGCTCTTTTCACAATGAGACATCTTACAAAACGTTCCAATTTGCTTCGCAGAGATATAAGCATAATCGTAAATACCCTGGAAAAACTGATCTGTCTCATGATACCTATAACATGCAAAATACTGATGCTTCGAATAGGCATGCATTACGATCTCGTTGAAGTTTCATACGATCGAGCAGAAAAAACTGTCCTGATATCTCAAACTTCAAATGCTTTTTCTCGTTTTTGACTTTATCAGATAAGTTTGAGCAAAAATACATCGCTTTTCTTTTTTCTATGTTCTGTCTCTGATATAAGTTTGAGCTTAATCAGAGTTTTGTTTCGACCTTTGCCAATAAGGTGAAAGAAGAGACCAGGAGTACCCTTCAGAAAACACTGACTGTATTTCTATCAATAACTTTATATTTCTCTACGTACATATTTGCATTAATTTCATCGTCTTTAACTGACTTTCCAACATAGTCGACTGTTTTTGTCAATGATTCTATCCAATCTTCCATCTGTTGATAAAATTGAATCCATTCTGTATCGCTTATTTTTCCATTCGAGTAGGAATAAGTGGATAATTTTTGATTCCATAGTTCTAGCGCGTTATTAAAGAAAATAACACTTTGAGCAACACCATTTTCACCCGTCATACGAATACGATATTGTTTATGTAACAAATTGATGTTCTAAGTAGGTAAATGAAAAAAAAATAAAATGAATTTTAAAAAAATATCATAATTCTCACATCGAATAATTCTTTTAATGCTTTTTGTTCATTTGATTCTTTGTCATGAGCTAATGGATGGCGAGATAATAAACGATCCGCTAATTCAATCCATTTTTTAATATAACGATCAGCCTTTTTAATACGTTCTTCATTTATTAACACAGAATCCCCACCAAACTTTTCTATTTCACGATTCATTGACTAGAAAAGTCCATCTACACATAAAAATTCTTTATTCATACAACATTATCTTAATCACTCACTTCTTCCCAGTGTTTTGTGTGAGCTAAATATTCAATTACTTTTGGCCGATCAGGAACATTTATCAGTTTACCTTCACTGTCACTAAAAACAATAAACATTTGATTAACATACAACCGCAACAGAGATGACAATAACAGATCGCAGAATTTATATACACGAACTTAACTGTGTTGTTATGAACGCAACACAAGTTGACTCTTCCGAACGCGTCAGTTTATTATAAAATCGTCCTGCTAAACGCGTTAAATGTAAACGCATTTAAACGCGTCAAAACTTGCTGCGTTTCTAAGCGTTACTGTTTCACAAACACGTTTTTCTACGTGAAATTTTGCCGCAGTTGGACGCGTTTTTTTTTAACTAACGAGTTGAAACGCGTTCAGTGGCTGCTAAAACGAGTCAAAACACGTCAGATGTGTCAACTAACGCGTTTATAGGTGCGTTAACTTACAAAAAATGTTTGCCTGGGAGTAACCACTAATTCTTCCAAAAATTTCAAAATTATTCTCATAGGTGATGAGTAATGTCTTAGAGATTTCTGTGCTAAACAGATATCTAACGACATTCCGAGTAAAAAAAACTGTTCGAACAGTTTTTTTTCGTGATTTAATATATTTTTGAATGCTCAAAGTTTTCTTAGAAATGAGTTTGGAAATCTTTTAACAAATGTGTTTTGTAGAGCAAACATTTTTCTACAAAATGAGATGTTTCACAGTTCTGAGCGGATCACAATAACTGATGTATAGCAATTCTCCTGGATGCCCCAATACCAGTTAAAAACTGGTGCATACCTAAGTACATCTAATTTCTGCATATATACAACAAGCTCGCGGTCTTAATTTCTTCCACTGATTAGGCGAAAAACAGAACCTGACTAGGAAAACAGGCAAGGTTCCTTTGAAGAAAAGGACTTTTTTACGTACAGGTATCTGACCAGACAAACTGGACATCCTCTAGGGCGTATTCAAAAACTGCACATATGTGTATTAGATAACAGTAATCGCTCTCTGGTCAGTGAAAAACCGTACTCTTGGAAATATTTTTCGGGCCATTAGTTAGTGATAAAAAACTTAAGTGAAATATGATCCTTACAAGTGTGTTTGTTGAAACGCTTTGTATGTTAATTCAATACTTTTCAGTACTCTATTTAAATTTTTAATTGAGTCATCTTCTCTCAACATTTGTTCTTTATCAAATGATTCAATAATTTCTCTCCAATAATTTGCTTGTTTTTGTAATTCTGTCAAATCTATTGTATCTTTATCCGTCAAATAGATCGCAAAATGATTAGCCAATTTTGACCATGATTTCTCAGAAATACTTATTCGTTTAGATGTATTCAATTCATGTTCACCAATTACCTAAAAACGCAAAAAGAATATAAATAGAACAGACTAATATATTTTCAAGTTACTTTTAATGCAATTGTATGTGCTGCATCACGCCATAATTCTTTTTCAGATGATATTGATCCAATTTGTTTTTCAAGTCTTTTACGTTGTAAATCGTATAAATCATGATATTCTGTTAATAAGGAGGCATTCTTTTGAGATTCAGTTAATGCTGTTTCAAGCTAAATAACAACCGATAGAAAAAGTTATATCGTTTTGAAAAAAAATGAATCATAAATACTGACTATATTATAGCATACAATGAAAATTAAAAAATAATTAAATATTAAACAGATATAAGGATAAAAGGTATATTATAATTCTAACAGCTAAAATTTCTATAATGAGGACACGTATTGAAATAAAAATCTTTTCAAGATATATCTCAATAATAGCACACTTACAAAAGCGGGAGGAGGGAGGACGTTGGATGAAGGTTGTTATAATACCACACTTAAACTGACACTCTCGAAATACTTAATTTACATTTCTATTTCAAATAAATTCACAACAAAATACTACGATGAAAAACAGTGTGTAATTCGATTCAATAGTTTGTCTATTGATTGTTTTTAAAACTTATGCTTGATAAGTTATAAAACACCAAATTATAGCAATCGAAAGCAATGATTCATCTCTTACGACTGAAGCTCCCAAGTAATGCGTCAATATTCCCTTAAACCTACTTGATTAATGATAATATTTTATACCGATCATAAATTTGATATCCGCATTTGTAGAAGGTACTGATAGCGTACCTTATATTCTCGGAATGTTATATAATCAGCACTAATATTCTAGACAAGACTAGAAACACAGTAAAACACAAAATTATCTAATCTTTTAACTTATTTAAGGGCAATAATTTAAGAACAAAGATTAGTAATATAGCAGCAGCGTGTATGAAATTTATTATTTTAATTTTTAATTTTTAAAATTTTATTTATCGACGTTTCGAGAATATAATTCTCATTATCAAGAGAAATGTTTATCATATAAAATAAAATTGAAAATATGACTTTTACGTAACAAGCGTCAACTGATTAAAGGACAATAATTTAAGAACGAAGATTAGTAATACAGCAGCGTTAGATCGACACATATCATATAAAAGTCATATTTTCAATTTTATTTTACGATAAACATCTCTATTGTTGTTACGTGTCTTCTCTTGATAATGAGAACTGTATTCTCGAAACGTCGATAAATAAAATTTTAAAAAATTAAAAACTAAAATAATGAATTTCATACACATACGCTGTTCTTAAATTATCTAATCTATAAAATCGAATATCGTTGGAGTCAAACTCTTTAAAATGAATTTTGTTGTCCGACTGTCTGTTGTGCTTTCCTTTCCCTCAAAGCAAAAATATTTTTTTAATAATTTTCAATATTTCTCATACATACAACAAACGAAGATCTATCTATCATTCTATTTTAATCAACATTCATGAACTGTACAAGTCTAAGTTAATCAATGTTCAATCCAGAATTAATTAATATAGTAGGACGAGAAGATGATAATTTATTGTTTAAAAGCATAAACTACAAAAAGCAGAGCTATCAAATAAGTAGTTACCTTTTGTTATTAACAATATTAGACCATAACACTGAACAAAATTAAAACTAATTTCAAGAGACACCTACGTCAGTTTTTATCAATAAAACTTTGTTTAATAAAATGTGTTATATTTTGCAAACAGAAACTTACATAATGTTTATCTTTTTAATACTTACGTCTTTTTGAGCAATTTCTGCTTCTTCTGACACTCTTTTATCATGTTCTCTAACATCTTCAAGTTCTCTAAAACAAAACAAAATATTAAGTACTTAATAAACAAATGCAACATTAATTTTTTAATATATCAAACTATTGTCATAAATCCCGATAGCGGTATTTAATAGTATGATTTGCAAGTGTCATAAGTTAATGGGCAATCAAAATTAACTCATATAGTAGATTTATAGTACAGCAAAGATTTTTTTATTCTTGTTTCGTTCATCTGTTCGTACTATAACATTCAGACAATTTCAATAATACATCTATTTGAGTGAGTGTGTTACAATAATAATTATCTTTTCATTGCTACGCTCTATACACAAATATATGGCAATGTAAACAAGCATTTTATTACAAGTGTATTTGTTAATCAAATTCTAAACACATCCATATGGTCGATATAAATAATTATATGATTAGAAAGAAAATTAATGTAACAATATAAACGCATATATTCTTAAAGAGACTATCTTCAACTAGATTTCAAGGATCTCATCATCATCAACTGTTGTTCTGTAAAAAAAAAAAAAAAGCTTTAAGGAATGCGAAAACAAATTAAAAGAAAACACACAATAACTAATTGATCATTTAAACGACATAAGAGTCACATATTGTGAAAATGACATACTTAAGTGTTACTAAACAATATATTGTTACAATTCTGTTTCATCTCTGCCGACAATGCATAACGTAAATAATCATCTGTCATCGTGTTTTATTTCAAAAAATTCAAATGATTATCCATATAAAACCGATTCTTGGAAGTGTTTTAATCAACAATTTCAACAACCTGTTCAACATCAATCGACGATTATTAAACCAAAACCAATTCGATATGATACATGCATACAAATGAAAGGTATTCAACATATTCGATGCATAAAAAATATCCCATTCAGATGAATTTGATATTAAAGACAAAGCAGACAGTTTAGTTAAATTTGTAATTGTATTTCACTTGTTGCCCAGCACTATAACCTATTAGGTTCGATTTCCATCCAGTTTTTAGGAAAAAGAGTCACACGCAGCCCTAATAGGATACGTGGATACGCTGAAAATTAGTGCCCAGTCTTTCACAAAAGATGTGCCTTCTTCGAGATCCGATAGAGTGCCACGACTCTTAGTTTAATAAACCTTTGAATTGACATACAATACATAGCAGTAGACTACAAACTGTGTTTTTGAACTACAATATCTATCCATGTACTTTGTTTAGATGAATCTTCCACTGTCAATTATTTATCAATGATTCCATTGCATATTTTGAATGAGCACTCATCAAATGATACTGGTACAACAACGTCAACTGATAAAAAACGTTCTCGTATCTTATTTAGCCAATGGCAAGTATGCGAATTAGAAAATATATTTTCTCAACAAAAATATGTATCAGCCACTGAGCGTTCATCAATCTCCCTTAAAACAGGTCTATCACCAAATCAGATTAAAATTTGGTTTCAAAACAGACGATATAAATGTAAAAAGACTCTCAACATACAACATTAGATTTCCAACCGTCGATTTGAAAGTCAATAATTGTTCAGCTAATCGACGATCAAGAGCACGTTGAGCGATCAATTCTTCGTGTAAACTAGAACAAATTGAATATAAAAAACTTATATAATAAAGAATCAATTAGAACTACTTCTATACCTTTTTATTTGTCTTGGAACACGAGATAATAACGTCGAATATCTTTCACGTAATTTAGAGAGTAATTCACCACGTTCTTTACATTCAATACTAACCTGAATAAATCATAATTAATTGATAGTATAAGATAGAATCCATTTGTATGTTCACAATTTACCTGTCGTATAATCTCATGAAATATAATATTATAGATGTTTTGTTCTTCTTTTATTAATTCTAATAAATTATGCAACTAAATAAAATGAAATATATGTTACGCTAATACATTTGAAACAAGTTCATTTTTATTGATTAGAGAATCTTTATTTGGTCTATAAACCACGAAAAGATTGTAAAACAACGGGCTTATATGTGATGGCTGAACACAGATGATAAACAAGGTTAGAAATACAATATCTACTTGGTAAAAAGTTCCAACTAGCCTACCTGCGTTTGTCCTCTCTCATCATTATTTTCAATGGTAATTCTTTGTAACAATGCATCCATTGTATGACGAAGTTTCATTACTTCATTACGTCCAACGGGCTTTCTATAACATCATAAAACAAAAATATATAGCATTTTTAAATATAAAAGTGTTGGGCAACTCACAGCGATGGAAAGACTGTGATATGTTTGACGTGATCTTCAATTACAGTTGTATGTTTTCTAGATGACAAGAGAAAATATTTATTAGAAATTAACAACGTCCTATCAATAATTATTTCGAGTATTTTACTTCTAAAAATTAGTATTTGACAAAAATTATTAAAGTTAGATCTAAACTTGTTACATACATTAAAAATGCATTGATTTAACTTACCCATCGTACACTTCAACAGGAACGACGCCGAGATTTTTTACAATACGAAACTCTTGTGGAATAATACTCTCTGGTAGAATGACATCCTAAAATAAAATTCGTATAAATAATTTAAGAACACTTTTTAATCACTGAATTTTATTTTATACAACATTAAAATAGTCTTTTAAAAATAACTCTAGTTACAAAAACTGGCGTTTTAGTAAATGGGAAAAAAAGCGACTTTCCTTATTGACCTGTTGTAGTTCTGTTTGTGCTCTAATTGCACTTTTATCAATAGATCTGTTCGTTTGAGAAATTGGTTGTTTTTCACCGCCCATTGATACAGCATCATATAAAAATGAGATATCTCTGAAGAAAAGAGCAATAAATCAAAATATAAAACATCAATTAATCAAATAAATATCTTTAACCTTCCAGCTCCACATGTACAAGTATTTTGGTCGAGAAGAAATCGAAATTTCTCTCGTTGTTTTGCATGATTCCAAACATTATCTGGTCGTCGTGTTAAAGATGGAACTGTTGGACGTAGTGTACCGTTAAACTTCGATGGTGGACCCAGATATTCTTGGGGACAATTTGATTGACGCAAAGCGAGAATTAAGTCTTGTGGTAAAAATTCATTTTCAGCTTTTAATCTGATTGCTTTGCTTCCATTTACATGGTCTGTCGAGAAACCAGAACATAAATAAAATTACTTGTAAGAACACTTTTAGCATACCTCGATTGGTTTGAAGTTGAGGTAGAACACAACGATTTTGATCTGAATGGTTATTTCCGACTGTTGCGACAGTAGTATCATTATTTTGTATTGCAACACTCATCTAGGGAAATAAACGTATGACAGATAATTGAATATGTAAGAAAGACTACTATTGATTATAGACAGAAATACATAGTGTAGTTTTGCTGCTGACAGTGGACATTGATGTCCGCAATAAAGGAAGAAAAAATGAATTATCACAGCAAATACATATGAGATCAACGAAGTAGATTTTAATAAAATACATCAGTCAAATGTTTTCTGTAGATTTTGCAGGTGCTAACCTCTTGGCAATTGGCACTACGAAATATTTTTGTCGTTCAGCCCAGCCAAGAGAATAAACTCTTTCGATTTCTGTGTCAAAAGAACGGACATGGAGAAAAGTTTTGAATTCTAACGTAGTTCGAGGGCTTTTACAAGCATTTTCATCAGCAAAGATTCTAGTCTGCCAATGCATGGTAACAGCCTCTTTCTCATATATGATCCAATGTGGCAGATGTCGCTTCTAACGGATTGATTGCAATAGTAAAAAGAAAAACACGATTCACTTCAGGTTAGCTTATGATTAAGACACTACATCTAGTCAAATTTCAGCATTACACGTGAGAAAACACGTGAAATCAAGATTCATCGGAAATGGTTGTTTTTCAAAAATATTTTAAAGTGCAATACACCTGTAGAAATAGAAACACCTGTTTTTATAGCCGAAAAATTACTCATGGGCAGTCTTGTAGCTCTTCGATGCCATGGCTCAACCACTGGAAATAACGAGAAGAGATCACTGAAAACATTTTCATATCATCGGAAAAAAAACAAAGTTATTTTTGAGTTGCTGAAAAGTTCGTATTCCGCACACTCGATAACACAGAAGATTTTGTATTTTTGGAGGAGGTACTGCCAAAAGTTCAGGAACAATTTTCAAACTGATATTATTTTCTTATGGGAATTTTTTTGCGCCATTTTGTTTCAAAATTTTTCCTAAACTGTTGGAAGTACCCCTCACCAAAAATAGAAAATCCTCTGGGTTATCGAGTGTGCTGGATACGAAAAAGCACTTTTCAGCAACTCAAAACCCACTTTATTTTTTTCTTGTTCCGGTGATAGGCTTTCCTACACTGGAAAAGTGACCGGTGTTATTATAAAAAAAACCTGGCGTTATTATGTACGAAATTTTACAAAAATGACCTTGTTAGTATTATGTGTTTCATGCAAGGGGGAAACATCGTACTCCGCTAACTCCATCACTCCGCAGAGTTTGACAGGAGTGAACGGAGTAGTGGAGTGACGGAGTTACCCTGGAGTGAATGGAGTTTGATGTTTTCGATTGGCGTGCTTTGCTTTTCCAAATTCTGTTTTAATTTGTAGCATTCTTTAGCTCCCAATGTTCCTATAGTTCCTAATGTTTCCATAATTCCCAATGTCCCCATAGTTCCTAATGTTCTTATAGTTCTCAATGTTCCTAGGATTAGGAACATTAGAAACTATGCGCACTAAAGGAAATACAGGAACATTAAGAACATTAAGAACTATGAGAACATTAGACACTATGGGAACATTAGAAACTATGGGAATTGTGGAAACATTGGGAATTATGGGAACTGCTATTATTATCGTTTCTTTCAAGAACTTGGATTATTAGTATTCATTAGTGCTGTGCATACTATTCCCGAGAAGAAAGCTGATCAACAAATGCGAGAGAAGAGAGTTATATCACTTGTCACTCCGTCCACTCTGCGAAGTAGTGGAGTATGGAGTACGGTGTTTCCCCCTTGGTTCGATGACGGATTTACAATAGTTACTTCTTAGAAGAATATATACCATCTGCAGTTCGTTAAAAATACGTTTTATTGATAGATTCATTTTTGAAACTATAAGCGAAAGCTAGACCATGATCAAAAGAAATAGTTATAAATCTCGAAGAAATATAAGTAACTACGATTTATGACCAAAATGCCTAATATACCTTGTACGAAATAGAGAAAAACGCTCTCTAACATGCGATCATGAAGTCACATGATGAACTTATGAGAGATAGGTAACCCGCAAACATGTAGACAAGGAGCAGAACCTTTGCGAGAAGACTATAATACTAGTGCTTTTCATATTTTTCTACCGTGAAGTATTATTTTTTTAGTTTTTTTTTAATAAATCATTTTTTATTTGTATTATATTGAATAAAATACTATGCACACTTCAAATGTCAAATATAAATTTCTATAAAACTTTTTAATGAATCCTTTAACAGTTCCTTCCGTGATTAAAATTATTGTTGAATAGTTTTTTATATAACTTGAACCTTGAAACGGTTTAGCTTTTCACGAACACTTCATTATGTCATCGTTCGAAACTTTGATGATATTTGTAACAATGTAGTAAAATGTGAAATGAATTAAATAAATAGAATTTATTTTAAGATATGTCACATGGAAAATCATTTCGATTTCAATCATTTTTGGTTATGGCGTGTTATGCATTATTTCATACTTGGAGTATACTTTTAAAAGAGCATTATGTTTTTTTACTTATGAAAACACTTTAATTAAGATAAAGACTGACAGGGTTCGTACTATCGACTTTCAAAAAACAGGAACAGAGGGGATTTTTTTTTCTTGAAAAAACAGGAAAGTCAATAAATTTTTTCAGACATACAGGAAATAAGCGAGTGTAGAAAAACGACAAGTGAGATTTATCACAATGTGTTAAATAATGTATTGCTATACATAAACTAAAAATTCACTTGATCTTATTTAAAAAATGTTATACGGCATTAAAACATAGCCATAGATAATTGTATATATCAAGCTTTTTTTTATAAACTTTATTTAATAGAAGAAATGTTGAAAAAATCAGTACAATTATGATTAGAAGGAGCCGAACCCATTACATCTTAACATAAATTGACTGAGGACAGAGGACAGCACTAGAATACATATATAGAAACGATACACAACGACAACATAAAAAAGAGAAAATAATGACAACAATAGGATTAAAAGAAAAAGAACATATCAAGCTTATGTCTCTTTTTAATTATCTGTCTAGTATTATTATTGTTGTTTTCGTTCATCTTCCTCTTTTTCTATACGTATAACAACTAGAGGTGGATGGGACTAGTCTTTTCAGGTTCCGGTCCCGTAGTTAATTGTTTGATTCTGATGAAAAATTTGGCCATAGAACACGAAAAAATGTTCCGTCGCTGAGGGAATGTTCAATGCAGTTTGTTGCTATTGTACTGCGTTGTAGAGCTTTGTACGGTGCTGCAAGAAAAAATTTGATAGAAAAACGAGTCTGAAACTCACATTAGAATTTGATTCTATAACGAAGTTTTACTTTTACGGGATCAGTTTTTTGGTCCCTGGTCCCGACCCGTCCATGTCTAATATCATACTTTATTTTATTTTTTCTTTGTCTTCCATTTTTTTTACTTCTTTCGTTTAGCATTTCGACATGAGTGTGTAAAATTGATACGGTCAGTCTTTATGAGGACATTCTGATCTTTGGTATAAACGTCATTTCTGTTAGTCTGCTCTTCTTTTGTTTGACTGAAGAAAATAAAAATATTTGTCTAACTGACTGATTGGATTCACGTAAGAAGCAAAGACTTTCTAACAGATTTTACCATAATCAACAGTAAGACTACAGAAAGAATTCAAAATACAGGACAAACAGGAAAATTTCGAAGTTTTCGTTTCTAGCTGTTTTACTATTGTTTTTCCTTGAAGCCATCAATATTACGATCATTAATATAATTGTTATTGAATCGAATTAGAACGTATGAGTTTATCCAACCTTTTGTCTGAATCCATATGTGAAGAACGAAAAAATAATTCAAGTTTTCAATGCATTTTTTAAAAAACAAACAAGAACAAAAAGCAGAAAATGTGGAAACCCTGCTGATGTCCTATTTATTCTTTTTAATGCAGATCTTAAATATAATAAATATAAATAATCTTCGATGTTCAGCTAAAAGTAAAAACTTTATACCACCTGTTATCCATGCTATCAGATTATAGCCAAGGATTGGTTTAAACTTGGCCGAAGCTAATCAATATTATTTCTGTTTCCGACTTATCAAATGAAAATACAAACCCTATTATATCTTAATTTATAGAGAAAAGTCTGCTGGACGGATTCAAAAAACATCGTTCAACTTCATTGTAGAAATCTGCTAATTTCTTGTCATCTCCTTCTTATAGTTTTATTATAATAAAATGATGTGAGCAAAAATTATAATACTAATATTTAAAAAACGGAATGAGTGGCAGTCGTGCTGAAAATAAGCTGCCTTGTTAATGAAATATATGTGAATGGTCCATGATGATAGTGTTTGTATGTAAAATTGTTTAGAGGATCAAACATTTTTACACTCGGTTCAATTTGGGTACCTTCGTGCCATTCATTAAACGATGTTATTGTCAGAATACTATCGTCGCTCGATAAACATCTTTTGCCCATTTGAAACATGTTGATGTAATAGCTACCGTTTGAACGATGACGAAATGTTTCAGAATTCCATGGACGAACTCGAACATCGATGTAACCTAAAATAAGAAAAATATCCTATAGTTCATTAAGTTTCTGATTAGTAAGCTGAAATAAATTACCTGGTCCTACACTTGGTATGAATTGAATAGAATTACACTTATTTTTAATATTAATCCAATTGCTCATCGTAGATCCTTCCGTAAAGCGATCAGCAGCAAAATAGGTGTACGCACCATCAAAGCCTGAGTAGAGTAATTGTTCACAATCTGTTTGTTTCAATAATAATCCAATGTACAGGGCTTGTATTGGCTGACGTTTTTTTCCATTTGGCAATAGAACTGCTCTCCAATCATCTGTGTTTATCTGATACGAATCATAAATATAAAAGAGACCATAGTTATCAGTTCGATAAAATGCTGGATGATTACCATAACGATTTAATATGTACAATGTCCATTGATAAACATTCTCAGCTGTGCGATTACGATAGGGTTCAATATGGAAACATATCTGGAAAAACGATAAAATAGTTTCTATATATATTATATATATTTGCTAAAAAACAATTTTAAGAAAGAACCTTTCCAGGTGATTCACGTTTTTCTATGCTAATTCTTGATGCTGATCACGAGTCTAATGTTCGTTTGTGTCCTTATTGAGGTCCGGGTGCAACTTTAAGAGTCTGCTCTCTAGACACCCATCGTGCATCTGAGAGTCACGAGATTCTGATCTGGCTACTTTGTAGAAGTCATCGAGTTTTCTCTGTGAAAAAGTTTTAAACTACCGAACACGATTTAGTTGCACTACTTAGGGCATACCAAAAGTAACGAGATTTCAATCAAGTTTTCACTTCAGTAAGTATTTGAGCTAGTAGACATGAATACCCACGGATAATAAATTTGTTTCAAAACATTTGCTGAAAGTTTTTTTCGAATCATCTTTGATTAAAAACTACATACAACGATTAAGAACTATTTTGATCGGTTAATTTTCTTGGACATGGCCGACTAAAGAAATATAGCGAATACATAAAATGGTAGTAGGTCACAAGTTCTAGATTTGACACACATAAACGGACTTCAGTTCTTCGAATTAGAAGGATTGCAAGAGAGGAATCTCTACCATATAATGTTTCATGCCTTTTCTCAAACTAACTAGCCAAATACTCTTAAAAAATAGACAGATATAGAAAGAGAGCAAATTTCTAATCATCAATATTATATCAAAAATTCTCTAAAACTACTTATCAAGGGAGTGAAACAGCAAAGCTCATCAGATAGTGTTTCAAACATCAAAAGTCATTATGACAACGTTCAACCGTATATTCACAAAGCTGTTTTTTAGCATCTCGCATCAAAACGTATCTAAATATTTTATATTCACCGTATTCTGCGGGTCCAACATTACGTGGTTTTCAGATATTCTATCTAATTCATAAGCTTAATAAATCAAACAACCTTTAATCATTGCATTGAGTGCTGTAACAAAATTGATGAATTTTTCAATCCAAGATGATTCGTAAAAAAACTTTCAGCAAATGTTTTGAAACAAATTAATTGTCCGTAGGTAATCATGTCTACTAGCTTAAATACTTGCTGATGTGAAAACTTGATTACATCTAGTCTGTGAGGTTTTATCCACAAATCTCGTTACTTTTGTTATGCCCTAGCTATAAGAATATTAATCTCAAACATAGCAAAATATCTGACTTTCTCAGATTTTTTGATAGTAAACTTTTTATAATTATAGTCCACTTGCTTTTAATTGATATTTGTCAGCTATATTCATTAATATTATAATCATATCATCCCACGGTCGACCTTCATCATCGCTCATTTTTGGTGGATACCACGACACAGCTAGAGTACCTTTTGATAGAGAAATAGATGTACATGTGATCAGCACATATCTAAAACTGTTTATTTACCTACACCACTCATTCTAATCATTTTCATATGTTTATCAATTATTATTCGTGATCTTGAACTGTATGGATCAAGCCATGGGTAATAATTACTTCCGATGTCTATAGGAGGTTGGTGACGATTTGTTGCGTGTTGATATCCTATTCCTTTGTTCCAATGAGGTATTCGTCGATGGTTCCAGTGTAGCCATTGGCCATCATATTTTGGATTACCATACCTTTAAATAACAACATCATTCTGACTTAAAATTCTCATACTAATCACATGGATGGAACGTCTTCAAGGTTTAAAACTTAAGCGCCTTTGTAGTTTTGTGTGGAGAATCGAATGAGAACGATTTGGAAAACAAAAAATCTTTCCTGATGAAAATATGAATTTTTTACGAGGAGTATTACAAAAAAATATCGGAAAAAATGACTGTTCTGTATTTCGTTTCCTTTTTCTTTGCTCTATGATTTAAAATTTTGAAGTACATATGAATCACAAGAGTTTGATTTTGTTTTGGAGAAATATTAATCATAAGTTTATACGCGAGATGTATGATCAGTTATGATAAACACTATAAATAAAGTATAAAAGTTCAAAAATATGAACAATCTTACCAAGGATAGTAAAAAATGTGAATATTATATTTAACTTTCGTTTGATTTATAAATAACTTTAAATCGACAATATTGTACAGTGGCGGTGCATCTTTCGCTTGTTTTAATTCATCATCATCAACAGAGATATTCTCTAACATTGAAGAAAAATGTTGATCATCTTGTCTTTGAGGCAGTAAAAAAAATAATATTAATGATGTTAGTGTTAAAACACAGAAAAATGATGGCCAAGTTGAACGACACAAACGTCGTAAACGCCTGAACATATCACAATAGCATCTACAAAAACGTCAATGTATTATCCTTTGTGGTTTACCTTATATTAGTTTCAACACAAATATGGTAGTAACCTTTAGATTTATTTTCTTTTTAAAAACAAAAGTCAGGTAGTAATCGTCCAACGCAAAAGTCATGGGGTTCATGTGAAACTAACTCTTCCTACGATTTATGAAATCACTTTCAAACAACAGTTCAATAAGTTATACATTCGCATTTGAATATTTTTGAAACTACAAAACGATTTTGGATGACAAATTTATAAAAATGATGATAAAATTCTTATATAACAGAAAACACTAATATATTCAAGTTATCCTAGACATCTTTACTTACATTTGAAAAAAATATCTTTATGAACGTTAACTTTTTACAACTGTTTCATTCAATTTTATTCTTCTATTTATAAAAGAAAAAGAACAGTTGGTTACTAATAAAGAGAATTCACACGTCAAATAACTAATTAGAAACAACAAATAACAACAACATAAAGTAGATGGAAAACAAACTAAATGTACATGAGAAAATCGAACAATAGAGAATTAACACAAGTTAATACAATAGTTTTTTTGATATTATCTCATAGATCATTTGAAGTCGAAATTGTGGCATATTATCTTGAATAAAATCAATGGGCCATTCTCGGGCAATATATTTTGAAAATTGACAACAAAATACTCCACAATCTGAACCATTTCGTTGTGCTGGAATTGCTGTCATTTGTTGCCATTTCCATGTTGATGGTATTTGTTTCTGAAGTTTTGATGTATATTCAAGTGCCACAAATGAATGTAATAAGGCCAAACACAATTCATTTGAACCTCCTAGTGAATCATAATATTGAATACGTTCTTGATTAATATCGATTGTCTAAAATAACAAAAAAATAACTGATTATATACCATCGGATTATCAAATTCTCAAAAGTAATCTAGCAATGTATATCTTTCACGTTAGACCTTTCACTCATGATAAAACAAATCTTTTCTCTACTTATTCTTCTTTTACATACAATGATCTTTCGTGTCTATTATAAAATGTTCTATTCTCAGCAATTTCAAACTTTAAAAATCAAAAAAGACAAACATACAGCCAATGCCCAATGATTAGTTAAATGTATTGGAATTAGAATAATATCATATGTAAATATGTTGATTTTTCGAGTCCATCTTGCCATTTTTTCCGCTCCTTCTTTTGATAATTTTTCGTAGAAGAATGTGCTGAAATAATGCATTCGTGGATACGAATTCACTCCACTTTCACCACATATCATTGCCAGGTAATAATTAACAACCTTAATGGCAAAAAAAAGATAATTTAATATTGAAAACAAGTAATAAGTTCATAAAATATAACATACTTCATCGTTAAGCCATGTTAAACCAATCAATGTTTTCAAATCACGACGTGTGATTGTCTGATCATATTTTTTACCAAGATTTTCATTATCTGGACCCATGAGAGCAGTTTGTGCTATATGAGTTTGCTCTTCAGTTAATGCTAAATTAAAGAATCAACTATTAACTGAATATAATAATTTAAACTTGAACAAATAAAATTCACTTACCAAATAGTCGACGTTGTCTCCAACTCGGTTGTGATGCAGAAAGTGATGTAGATGATTCGACGGGTTGTTCAATTTTTACATTGTGAAAACCATTTGTAGCTTTATTCTTCTATAAAATAAAAATGAATCTTGTTTACACATATTTACTTATTGTAGAATGCACTTTTTACTTCGATTGGTATCTGTTTCAGATTGGATATGGCAGGTGGTTGCCTTCTACAACAAAATATGAGGACTTAATAGAAATTATGAAAAAATATAAAACAGTTTTATAATAAAATAGACAATGTACATAAGTTAATTTGAAAGTGACTAATATTTAAATAAATAACTTGAAACTTTTGACAATTTGCGATGTTTTAGTTTGTATAGAATAATGTAATGTATACATACTTTTTCAGTGCATTCAAAACAGACGGAAAAGCTCGTATAATATCATCAAGTCTAAAATTACGTAGAAGAAAACAGAACAGATATTAATCAACGCTATAAAAAAAAATATATATTTAATTTCTTACGTTTGAAATCGGACTGGTTTTGCTTTTAAATAACCAACAATCGATACTAGAAAAACGAGAAAATTTATTGACTGGATACAAATAAAAAAAAGTTATAATAGAAATTTATATTTAACAAAATGCAATCGAATCTTGTGTATGTTTTAGTATCATTAAATATTAAAAAATAAACATGTATTTACCTTCGGATTCAATTGTATTTGACTGTGAACTATTCATACCATTCTCTTCGGCGGGTATCTAAAATAAATCAAAATGAGTATAATATCGAAAATAAAGAAGATTGCTTAACTTACTGTGTAACTTGAATTATTATTATTGATACCATGCGTCGATGAATGACTAAAAATAGTAAAAAGTGTGATAAAATCTGATGAAAAGTAGCACCGAACATTCTTACATTTGATTTTGATATGAAACATTTTTCGTAAGCAATGACGGTGGTGGTATTGCATAAACTTTTTCCAATACACGATGAACAGCTTTAAAAGAAATATATAGTATAGAAAACGATAAAAACATCTGTAGAAGAACATGCATTATTTTATTAACAAAACAAAATAATGCTCACGATTAGGGCTGTAGCCGTTCACGTTGATTTGGCAAAAATTTCAACGAAAACGGCGATGGTTTTGCTGCTGACATCCTGAACTGTCAACAACATCTCATCAGTTGACGTTCGGGACTGTCAACGTAAAATATTATGTCGTTAGATGTCGTTATATGAGAGTTCAGTATAAGTAGAGAGACACATCAGTAATCATCTTAAATACCTTCTCAGGAAGAAACATAATTGAAGGAAAGAGGCAAAAAACGGAAAAGACAGGTAAGGTTCTTAAACATTTTTGGAATACAAGAGATCTTTACTCAAATCACTCTTTTCCTGAAAACTGCGAACAATTTTTTGTGAAAATTATTCTAGAAAAGTTATTCAATCGATTTAGAGCCAATAAGTTAGAAAACACTAATCGTTTCACAAAAGCAACATCCATATTTTATTTAATTAAAATTAAATTAAATTAACATAAAATTACTCAACGTTTCGACTGTCCATACAGTCATTTTCAAGAAAACTATTGTACAAGAAAATTATTGTACAAGAAAATAATTTTCTTGTACAATATGTTTTCTTGAAAATGACCAACCTTTTTGTGAGTATAAGATATGTCGCAATTATCTTGCAAGTTTAATAGACTGTAGAGACTGACAGTTGCTAGTTTTAATTTTGGTGCGACGTAATAAAAGTTCTTTTCATTTTACAAATAGTTTACTTGTTTAGAAACACCTGTCCGCCAACTTTTTAAAATGACTGTCTGCCATAAAAATCTCTCGCCCTGTCCATGTCTATGGACAAATCACTGAAATCGAAGTTTATCCATAGACGAATTCATCTAATGAAGCTAATTCTTTTGTCATCATACCTCTCATCTAGACAAAAGTAACTTTATTCTAAGTACATTCAAACAAATATATGATGACATGACCGAGTCTTACTTTCAATCCTTTTCTGTTGTTTATCTTGTCTTTGATCGTCGATGGCAGTAGTTCGGTATGGTCGTGTGATCTGAAATGTGAAATCAGTTATCAACAAGTAAAACTAAATAATTACAAATTTCTCATACTTTATAATTTGTTGGTTTATTCATTAATAAATTGTATTGATTGGTAACAACAGACAAATTTGAATTGTTTTTTTCACGAAGAGGTTTTCGGTGATGGTGCGGTTGGACAGGTTTGGGCTTCATAGAGAAATATTCTAATCTAAAAGAATAAACATAATGCATCTAGCGATAAAGAATATGACTATAATGTATAATCAACTGTCTATTTCTGTTGGATCTATTTCACACAATGTCACAAAAAGATAGAAAATTAAAGACAGAATTAAGTTTTTTTTTACACTTTACAGACGTGAAGTATTTATCATAAAGTCAAAATATGTTTACTTTCGTTTTCATAGTTAATTTCATTTGTTAAATAAGAAATTAAAGTATCATTTTCATATTGTCTATAATTTGCCTAAAATGTTTTTATATAAATACAAAAAAAACTAGCGTATCTTTCAAACAGAAAAGAAGTATAAAAAAACACACATCAGAAAACAAGACACATGATCGTACAACAAATATGTAGAAGAATAATGCAGAAAAGAACATAAATTCTATCTTAATTTAATAAGCGATAGTCGGATCAAACAGTTATAGAAGAAAAAAGATAGTTCTAAATTACTGTTATGACAAAAATCATCGTTATAATCTATTTTTTTCCTTTTCTCGTAAATTCTGCGGTTGCATCGTCATATTTAGAATCAGCAATATTAATCATAAGAGCTTCAGAATCCAAAAATGCACGATTACTACTCAGAGAAAGCTAAAATATAACACAAAATAGCAAACTAAAGATAGTTATATACAAATAGAAAAAGACTTACTGTTTTAGCTATATTTTGTGCAGCACGAATTTTTCTCAATTTTAAATAACCGGGATTTTGACTCAATGATTTTCCAATCTATTTTAATTTATTAAGGAGATAATTTTTAAAATATTAATTCTAATATTAGCTTAAAATTAACTTTTTTAGCATTATAAAGGATACAAGTTTAGCTGATTCAGCATCTCCTTCGGCTAAAACAATTTTTTGTTGTCGTTCTTGTTTGGCTTGTTCAACAGTAAATACAGCACGTTGAGCTTCTTGTTGAGCGACCTATTAGAAATATTTTTCAATATAAATATAAAATATAAGATCATGAAGTATGTTTAACTCACTTGTTTTGATTCAACCGCAGCTGAATATTGTGGACTAAAACTAAGTTCTGTTATTGATACATCATCTAATAGAATATCAAAATCTTTTGCACGATCCATTAAATCAATTCGAATTAAATTTGATACTTGTTAACGTTGAGTAATCAATTGAGAAGCATTAAATTTTGCGACAACACTTTTCAATACCTAAACATTGAGAGAGAAATATTTATATTTTTAGTACGATTAAGTGGTTGGAAGGGTTTACATAGAATAAGAGATCTCATCATTTCTCTACCTCATTACAAATGGAAGGTAACACTCTTTCATCCCAATCTAGTCCTAGTGTTTGATATAATCTTGGTAATTTTCCTTGATCTGGTCTAGCTAACACACGTAATGCTAAAACAAAAGATATACTTAAATAAACACAAAAATACTGCTGATCTTTTTAAGAACACAAACCGATTGTTATCATTTGTAAATCTAAAATAAGAGAAAATAGTCAGTAATGATATCGTATAAAAATCAAGGAGAATACGAACCTTTGCTTCCTGTGGGTGATTTAATTATACGTGGTCGAGCACGAATATCATAAATAATTGGATATTGAATCCATGGAACTCTAAAAAGAGACATAATAAACGACTAGTAGATTCATATGTTCTAGTCTCTCTTCGTACAAAATTCATTTCGTATTTTTCGATAATTTAAGTTTTAGGATACTTTAATAGATTTATTTTGGTTCAACGTAAGAAATTCCGTAGGATATTGGGAAAAAAATCATCTAAAACACAAATTTTACCTGAAATGTAGTCCTTCCGAATGAATTATGTTTTGATTAACACCACTAATTCGACTAAATATAATTGCACGATGACCACCTTCAACTAAAACAAGAATGAGAAAGAATAGTACACATACACATACGATTTTAATCAAACATTAAGGTACCTGTAAATACGGATCGATATAGTCCGTATGCAGCTGCTCCGACACCGACTAATAATTTTACACCTAATCCCAAGCCTTTAGCACCAGCCGAACCTTTCGAAAAACGATTGGCAAAGTCGTTTAGTTTTTCAGCCATCACATGTATCTCAAATAAAATCAATAAATGAATATATCTGTATTGACTTACATTAAAATGACTCTAATATAAACATAAACGATAATGAAAACAATTATTATGTAAAAGCAAAAAAGAAAAGATTAGTCTTGAAAATATGACAATATTTTTCGTAGTATTTTCTCTGTTAAGAGCAATTTATATCTTAAAAACATCAACATTCATTTTTCACAATGAATATCGATGTTCAGTAGTTTTGAATCATAATTAGCTCACAAGTTCTTTGCAGACATTATGAAATTACCAAATGTATTATCAAGAAGAAATCAACATGTACATTACAGAAAAGGTCAGTTTTCAATTCACTTCTCTAAATATATCTGTCAATTAGTCGACTAGTATGCCGAGTTAGATCATTAATAAAGCTGATGTGTTCCAGTCTATATTTAATAGAATTGTGTACGCATGCATCTACTGTTCATTCAAAGACAGTGATGTAAAAATTCTTATTTTATTTACAACAAAAGTTTGTATACATATAAATAAGACGGCGACTTAGTTCATTCTCCAATGTGTTATGTTCATTTTCCTGAGAAAATGCAACAACTTGGTACTATTCTCTTGCCTTGTATCCGTATAATACATAGTTTATACGGCTAGATTTCAAGTCGTTTGATGAGCAAATGTGATGGCCTTATCGGAATGTGAATATGGCCCATTACAAAAAAAAAGAAAAAAAAAAGTGCTTACAAAAGAAAAAAACATATTAATCATAACAAAGAACTAATTATAGGACGAACAATGTAATTCTTTATCGAACTGTTCATTCAAACAACAGAATGTGGACTGTTATCAATAATCATGCCATTCTCAAATTGATTCGTTAATGCTGTTAACTGAGCTTTTTGTTGTTGTTCTTTTCGTGAAATGGAATGTTTTAATTCATTGACATGAGATGATCGATAAATAGATTCACACTCAATAGGCTTTATGAAACGAGACTCTTCATTGCCACTAGAATTGGAACTGACATGTTTTACAGATTGTGGTTCAAATATAAGACGACGTTGAACAACTGGATTCGAATCATCATTTAAAATCTGTGAATAAAGATGCTGCTGTTGTTGGTCAACAGATTGTGTACCCGTAGATAATAATTCACAAAATAAATTTGACACTTCATTATCGATATTATCAACAATTGTTTCGAAATCATTCAGCAATACTTGACCATGCTAAAAATAGAGAAATTATTATTAAATTTTTGTCTCTGAATCAATAGTCTTCTTACTTCTGATTTCCATAATAATTCTAATCGAACCAGAGCCGTATCCAAGGTATCGAGTGCAGCATTAAAACGTTGTTTTTCTGCTTGTAAACGTTTATATTCGATACTATGAGTCGATGTTGAAGAATTTGTCGACATTTGGTCATATAAACTGGCTAATGATACAAACATTTCGTCAATATTCTCGTCATTTTCATTTGTCGTTAGTTCAGATGAAACTGGTGTAGGTGCCGTTTGATCCAAAACACTTTCCTATAAATAGAAAAACCAAGGAAAATTTTATAAACTTATTAGATAAGTTTTCACGTACCATCCATTTCCAAAATATATCTTCTTTTTGTTTCCAGAATAAAAATAATTGCAATTTTCCATTTTCATCATCAAGCAGACTCACATACTAAAAGAAAAACTATGTTGACAATATATTCATAAAATAATTCCCATATACATACATTTTCTAGAAGATCTGGATTCTGGCATAGATGTGCTTCCAATGATGATATATCTTTATCAGATAAACGATATCGAGAATGAATCTAAACAGAGATAATAAATACACATATTTCACTATATTACAGTTCTGATGATTGCATACCTCATGTTGTAGTTTTGTTTTTTCTATCGACAAATGATACACTCGTCGAAGACCATAGCGTAGTTTGTTATTTAAATTTATTGCCCATTTAACTTCAGAAATAATATCATGAGCTGGAAGATTCTCATTTAATGCCATATTGGATAGTAATTCCTGCAAAAAAAACAAAAAGATGTCAAAATTGAGTGAATGTGTCAGCGTATTAAAACAAATTTTCTCTTATATTAATTCATAAGATATTTTATAATAATCTAGTTTCATACTTGATGTAAAACAGATGTATCTTCATTCTCTAGAATATTTGACTGCGATGTTGCATTGTGAATAAATATTTCCATTAATTTTAGATGATATATTAACCAACCTACACAGACTAATAACTGTCTACTTCCATGTTTCATATCTGGTTTAATATCAAGAAAATTATCATAAGTATAACCACGTTGAAATAATTCACATTTAATTAAATGAATTACATCGGCTTAATAAAAAAAGGACTAAATTATTTGTACAACAAAATATTTTCCTCTGACATCTATCTGGACATGTCTCAGAAGAGGTAACATGATCTTAATTGTCATTATTTTATACATAATTGATTAAAAAAGATAGATTTAAAATATGAATATGTACCTCTTTTGAGAAATTGTCGTTATATTTCTATTCTCACCTTTTGATGTTTGTGTGAATTTTTTTGATACAATATTTTCGTCTAGATACTCATGTTTAGAATAATAAAGCATTTCAAACAAAAGTCGCCATAATGGAGCAGCCTAAAAGAAATTATTAATATATACATAGATCATCAAACAGGATCGTTTCCTAGTGTAAATAAAGATAAAAATGTATGTCTTCATGATCAAATATTTTTAGAGGTGAGAAATAGTTTAGATAATATCACATTTTAGCCTACCGCTTCTGGTTGATCAAATTTGGCTAAACGAAATGTTTCTGATGATAATTTTGAAAAACCATGTTTCGACAGTATCTGACAAAAGCAGTCGATAATCGGTCGAACCTGCGCCATCTTAAATAAAAAATTAATAGAAAAGAATATATTCATTAGAACATGAAATTAGTCCAAAAAGAAAATATTTTTCTCATGACTTTTACCGATGATCAAATCTAACACATTTGATTAATTATTTTTTGTCTTATACAATTCCATAAAAGATTCTTAAGACTGGAAAATGGCAAATAGATGAAATAATAACAAATAATTGTTAGAAAATACAGACTGATTTGTTTTTATTAATGAATATAGACTTTATAATTTCAAAGAAGAATAAACAAAACAATAGTGAATTAAAAACAACAACCAAAATGAAAAAAAAAAAACTTTTTTTTTTCTATTCTTATGTTCAGTTAGTTTCAGCACAAATACAGAACAGATATTTAAATCAACTTTTTTTCAACTTCATTTCTTTAACATATTCTAAAGTAGGAAAAGAAAATTAGTAATAGTACTATATACAAAACTTGAATAGTATATACATATCAATGTTTTTAGCAATCGTTGGTATTTTAGCAAACAAAAAAAGTTATAGAATATAGAAAAATGTAAACAAAGTGCGATCAGTCATCTAAAATTTTAGGTGGTGCAACTCTTCGATGTTTGAGAAGGACAGAAAATGAAAAGGAATATTTCTTTATTTTCACAATATTAAAATGAAATTTATCACACACATACTAAGTAAAGAATTGGTATATGTATACCGCTATTTAACCAGATATTGTAGATCGTTAATGAATAAATTCTGAAAGGATAAACGAGAAATACTACAACTCGCTACTAACCCCACTTTTAAAATTCCTGTAGATTCGAAGATTCATCTGAGACGAGAAAGAAAATGTAAAACAAAAAAAAATTAACTAGACAAGAAATTCTTGGTCGCACAAAAAGAATACAAAAACAAAACTGCTTCTTTTTCTTATATAAAAAATGTGTAGTTTAAGAAATTGGCAATTAATCTGAAACTGTGCAGGTGTATTTATCAGATGCTAATGATATGTTTCTTCATCGATATAAGTTAAGAAAATATAGAAACTTTGCTTAAGCTTTCGATGAAAACATTTTTTTGTTTTACTGAAACTATATCGTATACCTATTTCTTAATGAAAAGATAATATTCTTTAAACAACTGCTCACATTATTATTATACACTAGGTGAGTCTATCTTATGTAACAAAATGCAATTGAATTCAAGACTCAAAATAAACGAAATGGACGAAAAGACATTTTTCATTTAAAAACAACAACAAAAAACAAGCCTAGATATACACAAACGCAGTTTTTAAATTTTCAACATAGAAATAACACAAAATAAAAATAAAAGCACAGTTGTCCACGAAAAGTACATTTAATATCGCACAACGCCAGATAGAAGAACAAACGCGTACAAAGGTTTGTTTAAAAAAAAATTCAAATTAATGGTACTATCTCTGATTATTTGTTGTCCATGAATGTTTTGAATCAGTGTGACTACCATTCGAACTGTCATTGTTTAAAGTTAGTGAGGATGAAACAATTGTTGAAGAACAATTTAAAATTGGATTAAAAGTGTTTGACGATGTATCTTGGAATGGTATAGATGGTTGAACAAACGCGTGAGGTGGCGGAGTTGGAGCATCGTTTGTTGTAGACGAATTTGAAGAAGTATTTAACGGCGATAATGGAAATGAATGATTAGTAGACGAGTTAACACCTAATTTCACACGACCTCGACGAGAACTACCACGACCACGACTAGTTGTTGTTGTTGTGGTAGGAGATGATGTGGCAGTAGTGATTGGTATCGGGGAGGACGACGAAAAATTATGAGATAGACGCGTGGACGACGATGATAAACGACTAAATAAAAGAAAATAATTATAGATCAAGATAAAAATAGAAGTTGTTTTTATTCATTAAAGTGCATATTTTCAAGTTTCAATAAATATTCTTGCATTTCTTTACCTGTTATTCGCTATCCTTCCCCGTCTGTTTTTTGTAATGGGTGACGTTGTGGACAGAGGCGGTGGTGTAATGACTTCTCGTTTGTATATCACACAAGCTGAACACTGCCACGATCCATCAGGAATAGCTTGAAGACCCACACAGTACGTATGATAACCACGATCACAACGATCACAAAACATCATTTGGGCCTTTGAACATAAATAAGAAGTAGAATGATTGATAGTAACAAACATTATGAGTTGAGCAATACGAAATAGAACAATATTTAACCATTGCCATTTTCAAGAATATTTAAGAGTGCAAAACCTGCGCACCTCTATAAGAAGAAATTTGAAAGAAAATCTATTTGTATATTAGAAATACGAGGCTCGATACATGTCTTGATCCGTTATTAGTAGATATTCAGTAAAATTTTTAATTTGAAGTAGCCTCTAATTACCTCGTCATGTGGTTTATTACATGTTGAACAATTTTTACAGTCCATACATTGCCACTGATACGTCTGAATAATTTGCAACATTTCTAAGTTAATATCAAGACATTGAGGATGAGAACGATGTAAACAAGTTGAACATGTAATAAATTGATCATCTTGTTGCTGCTGTTGTTGATTTGGTGAACGTTGTTGTTTACATATATAACAAATATTGGTCGTTGTGCTATTAGTAGATGAAGAAAAATTTTGTGTACTTTGACTATTATGACTGTTCAGAGAGTTTTGTTTATTTATCAATGTGCGAGACAATGGACCATTTGTACAAGATGACTGTGTTTCAATAAAAACACCGTTTGAATCTAGTGAAGACTGAAGTTGTTGAGGCTGAAGAACGATAGGAGGCAGGTGTGATTGAATGGGAGCAAAAGAAGTCGGTACAGATTGTTGTTGAATCTGCATTGATGATCCTATCTCCATTTCGTCTTCATTTTCTTCGTCACTTGTAGCCTGTAAAATTGAAGATATTGCAGAAAAGAAGTAGTAGAATGCAAAATCAAATCCTACCTGATCAAAACGTTCAGATTGCACTAATGATAAGGGTTTTGGATAATAGTATAAAGCGGTATTTATCGGCATATATTTTAATTCATCAGAGGTATACCTAAACATAAATTCAGATTAATCACATGCTGTGCTAGATAGAATAATTCATTTATTTGTTTGATTTTCAAAGTACGTTCTTACTTGATGAAAGCATCATGATATTGTCCAGGTACAAGTGGTAGCGGATAAGATCCAACGTGAGTAAGATTTTGAGGTAATCGAAATTGTTTGTTAGCTGGAAAATGAATTTGCTGAAAAGGAGAAAAACTTGAGACTACCCAGTATCATATATTATCTATCGGTTATACCATTGTTTGCAAATCAAAGCAAGCTTGTCGATCCTTTCGTCTTTCTCTTTGTATTTGTTGATTATATTCAACCGCCGAACGAATTGTATCTTGACGAACATTGGATAGTAGCTGCTTTGATGGACGATCATTTGTTATCTTAAACAAAACAAAGTTAAACATAAGATTTCCAGGTACACTTGCAAAGTTTGTAAATTGAAACTAGCGTTATGGTTTCATTCCTTATTCATGGGATATCTGCAGATTCAAACTCACAGATTTATTGAGTTTCTCATTTTCATTTTCGTTTGTGGTCACTGTTGGAAGTATAGTTGACTGTGTTGCGGATAACGAAGACGATACATGAGACAAGGACGGAGTAGAAGTTGCGGAGGAAAGGGTTGGCGTAACAGCGGTATTTGATGTGACAAATGATCGACGTTTATTCTGCCATACTTGATTGAATTGCTAAAGCAAATAAAAGACCCAGCTGATATCGAGGAGCTTCGTGCATTTTGAAGCAAAGTTTGAAACTATTAGTAAAAACAGGAAAAAAACAAAGGTTATCTTAACTGTTAAATTATAAAGAAACATATATACTGTTGTCAATATGATATGAACGAATTCTAAAATTCTCATGAATTTTACGTTCATGACCACAAGAAATACTTCTGCTCAAACCTTTAATGTGCATCAGTTTGTGAGTAATGTTCTAGAAGATGAAGATTGCGTTTCACAAATGTATCTCACAAGCCTAGCATCTCACTCCAAGTCGAAATTAAAAATAGCATGAAAAAGAAAATCTGTCTCACTCGATGTTTATCGGGATAATCAGTAGACATAACATTAAGTATTTCGTCAAGTTTCAATGCTGTTAATCCTACAAAGATACGTAAAAATAAAAAATTAAAATCATTTTCTTGTGAGGCGATGTGTTTCTTTACCAAGATCACATTGTGTTTCTGTGACGACATTTTGCGATTTTAAATATTCTCTTTCGTTTAAGTCAACAACGCGGCGACTGATATCTGAAATAATAAACATAGTTATTCAAAATAGTACACTCATTTCGATTTCCAAGAAGAAAAAACGTAGACGTACCAGGATATTTCCTTTTAAATGATTTTAAACTTAGATAATCGCAGATTTGTTCTTGTAAAACATGTAAATCAGCTAGAGTATCTGAGGGTGGCCAACGGTACACGTGCAATTTATCAGCTGATAAATGGCGACTAAACGGGAAGCAAAAAGAACTTACAAAATAATGTTAACTATTGTTTTAAGAAAATAAGAAATAAAAGGAGATAAACGTAATGTAAAATGTTCTAGCTTTCACATACCCTAAGTTATGATCAATATCTCTCGTTTGTCTTTTTTTTCTACTCTGTCTCACAGCTTTGACGGGAGTCAATGTTGTTGGTCCGTTAGCTATTGTTTTCTCGTCTGATATTGTCGATATATGTGGAGATATCTGTTGTGTTTTTGCTATGTTTTCATTTTCTGTAGTTTCGTGATTTGTTCTTTCATCTGTTAGTGAAGGTGATCGATTTCTTTTTAAAGAAGTTTTTATTGTCAATAAAGCAAAGTTGTCCTCTTCATCCGAGGGTTTTCGCACTCGGCTAGAAGATTTTGAACTTGTGACATTACAAGTGTTCAACGTTCGATTATTATTGCTATGATGATTATGATGATGATGATGATTGAGTGTTTGCTGTACAAAAACGTTTGTTGTCGGTATTTGTGATTCATGATTAGATTTTACGGGCGAAGGATAGGAATTTGTCACTAGTTCACTGCTACCACCACCAGCAGGAATAACAACATTCGGAGAATGAATAGTGCTCATCAATAAATCTGTTATCTGTTCTATAATGACACAATGTACTATATTAAGCTATATTACTCTATCTAGACTAACAATTCTCTTTTTATAGAAAAAACATTGCAAATTAGTAAACGAATGCTAAGATTATTTATTCAATCAAATTTTTTTGAAGAACTAATTAGACAGCATGCAATCACGCCATAGAATCAGATATGTATAAACTAATCATTCAAATTTCTATTTGTATCTTAACTTGAAGAAGCAATACAAGAAACTTTGTGATCTCATAGCGATTTCTACGAGAAAGATCACTCCCAAAACCACTCAAGATAAACTACAGCCAACATAGCCGTGCAACCAAAACAACGCCATTTTGCTCAGCCGTGTCTCCATCAAAATTCGCGTTTAATTTTTTTGACAGTAATACACAACAATAGAATTAAAAAGGCATAAAGTTTGCTTTCTTTAGCCTTATATCGACTTATTTAGCGCACTTTAGGAATCCGAAAATATAATATAATACTGAAAAAGATGTCGCTTTTATGCACAGAGCATTCGACCACTATAACCAAAAGTTTGGCCAAGTCGCACGTATCAACATAGTCTATCTTGAGTTATCTTTCTGACGTAGACTAACCTGACTCTTTTCAATTTATCTAAAACAAAAATCTTTCTACTCGTGTCATTAATTCTGCTACTTTTCTTCTCAAGGTTATTCTACAACCAAATTTGGTTGTCGTTTATCTTGACCTTCAAGGGGATAACTTATCTTGACCAACGTACATAGCATCTAAATCAGGAGACCACTATTCGAGACAGGTAACCCTATTGTAATTCTAATATGTTGTAAAGATGACAACGATACTTCAACATACAAAATCAACAACCAGTTTCAATTCCATTACATTAAAAAATACAAGATAGTATAGAAAGCCATATTCATGGCGGTATAAAAGACAACGATAACCGATAGGTGACATCTATTCATATTAGCGTTAAATTCACGGTACTTACGGCTACCATTAAGCCGACATTTTCGGCTTTTTGGCTTAGTAAACTACTTTCGAAAATTGATGAGTCATGAAAACTACACTTACTTTTGAATATCCTACACTAGTTCGACAGCGGCTTTAAATGTATTATACAGTTTTAAAAAATAATCGTTTAATAGTGAACCACCAGGAGAAAAAATATGTGGTGCGTGTTCTGAGTTCGAACCAACTTAGTTTTCACACAATTGAAATCAATTCTAATCTAGCATTAACTTCAGTTGCTATTCTAAATGCACTGAAAAAATAGCCCACAGTAAACTATTAAATAGATCATAAAAAGATAGCGACCAAGTCAAAAAAGTACGTTTCAGTGAAATATATGGAGTACTCAGTTGCTCGATTACAGGTTAATGCGGCGTAATGAAAAAACTTGTGTAGGAGCACTGAATACTTGAGTTTTGCACGGCTTCTGTTGAAATTTGTAACAGATAATGAAAAGTAATTATTCTCTTTGTCGAGTAGTGCACTGTAAAATAATATACTGAACACAGTACACTAACGGCTAATAAGTTGATCAAAAATAAATTAAAAAGAGTAGAATTAAAGTGAGAACAAACCTTAAAAGCAGATTATTAAAAAATATTCAAAAACTGGGTTATTATAGAGCTTGTGCTAACTTTAGTTTCTCATGTCTGTGGCACGTCTCTTGACCACTAGTATCATATACGCGTGACATCTATCTCGCGATGTTTATCTCTCAGTTTTAATGAAATTTTAACGAAATAAATCAAAACAAAGATTATTGTTTTTTTTTTGTATTTTCCTCAACGTGACTTTTTGTGTGCATTTTTTTAAGGAGCATGTGTACTGCGGAGTCCCAGGGCTAACGATAGAGAGGTACAGGATGATGATTTCCTCGTCTTATAGAATAAATATTTTTTACGGTATATTAACAATAATGAATAAGTAAAATAGAAGAATAAATGTGTTACCAAAGCTAATTTCACCTACTTTAACTCTTGAAAATATTAAATTTAAGCAAGTTGGTATTAAGAAGTTGGATAGATGTAATAATTGTACGGGTCTATCTTGAAGGTCAAAACCGTGCCCGTGCACTGTTACATGTTTATTTTAAAGGATTCTACCGCTTCTATTAGTATTCATTTTGTGAGAGTTCTGGCATTGAATGAATCATTCTTTAGTCGAACTCTAAATGTATCTGTAGTCCATTAAAAAGATAAAATGCGTTCGTACACCAAATTGGATCTTTCAATACAAACAAACGGTAATCTGCAGTTTTGACAAAGATTTTCGAATTTGAGTTTTAACGAGAAGATGTGTGCCAACTTTGGTCGTTGAAGATCACAAATTAGTGGGTGCGTCTATCTTTATTCAAAAGTTATTGAGTTTATCATAGCGCCGACGTTTATCTTTGAATAGACTGTATTTCTTAAACTGATGTTAAATATGTTCAGTATACTTAATAAATAACGTGAGCACAATTCTTGGTATCATGATACCGATGATGAGAAGATTTGAAATAGTCCTTAAAGCTGCAATTAGCGCTTTTTTTTCTGGTGTGTTTCGAATTTTCTTGTGAGATATTTGTCTAGATTACCCGTTCAGCGCAAATGATAAAAGCAATAGAAAAAGATTGTCGTCAGTTGGTTTTCTTCAAAATTGTAATAAAATAAGACGTTTATTTATACATATGGCGTTTTTTCACTCGTTTTCATATACCGTATATGTGTGATATGTGATCTCTTGTTATTATTAGTATTGTAATGATATCAACCATCAATAGATATCGTTCAAATAATGATTCAAGATTTTTAACAAACTATAAATATTTGATACTTGAATAAAAAACATTTTATTTTTCCCTACTGTTTGATATTGTCTGAACAATCGTTAATGACACGGAAATAGTTGAACATCGTTTAATTATATTCACACATATATACTAGATTAATTTAATCTGTTATTTCACTTCAAATGTGATCAGTTAATAAGTGGTCTGAATATTCCCTCCCTTATTACATACAATTTCAGAGATTTAAACATGTACTTAGTGAGAATTAAACATGAAGTAAAAGTCGTTAATATGTAAAAGAACAAGGTTTGTTCAAGTAAGAGAAATATCTCATTTTTCTTATATCGGAATCATCTATTATTCATTATATGTCATGAATTTATTACTAAATCGGCATTCTAATTACAAAAAAACTAATTAATACTTCAAACTACTTGAACTCAGAAAAAAAAAATTAATCCAAAAAAACCCATTTATGAACAACTAGTTATTTTTCTTAAATTTCTAAACTGTAGTTTAATAAGGATATATATTATTATTATTCTTTTTAAGATGAAATAGATATTATTCATTAGGAGTAAATTAGAGAATAATGAGAAAATCTGGCATTGAGCCATTTATACAATTGTATACAGCTCGATTTATTCCACTATTTATTCATTTAACATTATTGATATTAGTATTTGTATTTCGGGTATGTTAGTTATTTGTTTTCGAATATTTTTTCTTCGAATAGTCACTATCTTATATGTATTTATTATAGGATTCTTTGATAAAAACATGTTCCACAACTTCACCACCAGAAATTTGGTAAGGTTAGGAATGATCTATTTGGCCATCAAAGTGTTTATTTTCTTTTTTTCTTAGGTTGGATGCATGGACAGGCGTATCATTAGGTTTAGTTATTATTGAAATGATATTATCATTATCTGGAATCTCCATTTTTCGAAAATATTCAATCTTTTTCTGTATGTTTTTTTTCTTCTCTGCAACGCGTAACAAGACAAATATCTCTTATTCTTATCTTTTTCTCTATTTTAGCTATTGTCTTACATTCAACTGCCTCCATTTTACTGGCGATGTATTTTATGTCTGATGAAAATTTGTGCATAGGGTTACCATATCTACTATTTTTTTGTACGTTAATACCATTAGCAATTGAAATATTTGGTTGGATTGAAACATTTTTATTGAAAAAAACAATTTAAGTAATAATCTATAAACAATTTTGTTGTTTGTTTTCAGAAATAGCAATAGTAATCCGTCCAATGTTTTTACTGACCATTTTTTTGTAGTGAAACGTTTTTTATACATATGAGCTCTTTTGCTGCTTATCATTTTCTTTTTATCGCAGTCGTTTTGACGTATATATAAAAGATTTGATTCAGTGCTCTCAAATGCTCTTGTAAGCGTTAGACATATCTGTACTTTCAATTTACTTCTGAATAATTGTGTCTTTGTTTTGATACCATAAAAGATTCTTCTGTTGGCGACCAAGCAAGAAAAACTAAAGATTTTAAGGAGATATGCTAGTCTGTCATCGAATTTTGTTCGAAAAATAAAATCACAAACACATTAAAACAGAAAAACTAACTTCCACATGTGTATAAAACAAATGCTACATATATGGAAGAAGAAAGAATGTTGATTCATCAATAACTGACTCAACATTCTTTCTTGACATGTGAAAAATGGAAGAGGAAGGAATATCAGTGACTAATGAGAAATGACCAGGAGTCACTGGTATATGATAGTTGTAAAACAGCTACTACAGATACTCTCTTTTTATTTCTAACGTACCTCTTATTCTAAATTAGCTTATGCAGTTGAGTCGATCAAGTGGATAGAACGAAAAGAAGTTTTTCACAAGAAAAAATTCGTTTTTCTTTCTATCTGTACACTTTTTACAGGTAACCTTTTATCATGAACTGTTTTTTTTTTATTGAGTTCTGAATATTGTTTAAATCGTTATTTTTACAATCGTTTTAGTTAGTCAACTTTTCAATCTACGCGCATCATTGTCAGTTTTCATTTTTCTTTTGTTTTTTAGATGTTAAGTTAAGTCAACATCATCTATCTATGCATAACTCATTCATCGAACACTATACATCGATTCCCACATCGAATTCATACGGTAGTCTTAATGACGACATCCATGCAACATTGACATCACCTGTTCAACAGGCCACAACAACGAATTCATTGAATATTAATAACTTTTCCACATCGAAAATGTTTACTAACGAGAATGTATCGCATCCTTATTCAACGTTGAACAATGAAACAAACTTCACAGATGATAATGCTATTGTTCTACCTCCACAACCCAAAATACAAAAATCTCTATGTTGTCAGTTAAATCATCGTCAATCTGAAACACTGTTTGCCTTTATGTTATTTTTACTTGGTTTGAGTTTAATACTTTTTGTCATTGTTTCATACTGGATTCCAAGCCTAAAAATTTCAAGTGTTGTTCTTCTAATATGTGGTTTACTCTGTTTTATCCCGGGTGTTTATTATTTATGTGAAAAATTCTGGTGTTTCAAAAAGTCAAGAATGAACAATGATGATCAAGATATCTTTGACATGTAAAATTTTCTCGCACATATTTATCTCTGTTTTCAGATATTTTTTTTTCTATCAACGATGCTTCGTGTTTCAGCAAACTCGTATTATTTATACTGTTTTTTCTTGTTTTGTTTGTCAATTTTTCTATAGAATGCAAATTGTAATTAAATGTTAGAATGAAAATTAATGCTTATATCAATTAAAATATATATCTTTGTACACATATATGACGATCTTCTTATATTGGAAAATGACTTTGGATAATTTCAGTCATTTTCAGAATAAGAAAGGTTTGCGGCTGTTATACACTGAAAAATCTTTCGTATCAAGCTTTTTTATTGCATCTTACGTTAAATAAACAAATGTCTAGTTTTGTAGCGGAGACATTTCGTGATATGATCTATTATCATTAATAGCTAAAACTCCTGAAAAGTTTGATGAATATATGGAGGAACACATAAAAAGTCTACAGTCGAGAGATGATGTAGATGCATCAAGAGATTATAACAGAGAAATATTTGAAAAACTACTGACGAGGGAACCTCCCTAACTGTCAAATCGCTTTTTGCGTGAAACCTAGTGGGTTATAGGTTATCGACTATGCTGATTCCGAATATAATAATCATTTTGGCCGATAGATCTCCAGAGACCGGATTTATGAAAAACCAGTTTTTCAAAACTCCTAAAAAATAACCAAAACCTTTGTTAATGAGACATGATTGTAGTCCGCACATTGCTGATTAAAATGAGATTCCTCTCAGCTCTACACAATCTTTCTTTGCAAAGTTATAGAATTTACGAGAAAAGTCCTAAATTAATTTCTTATTTCTGTAGCTTTGAACTGACAATCAACATTTATGGACTTTTCTTGCAAACCCTATAACTTTGCAAAGAAAGATCATGTAGAGCTGGGAGGGGTCTCATTTTAATCAGAAATGTGCGGACTACAATCATGTCTCATTAACAAAGGTTTTGGTTATTTTTTACGAGTTTTGAAAAACTGGTTTTCCAGAAATCCGGTCTCTGAAGACCTATCGGCCAAAATGATTATTATGTTCAGAATCAGCATAGTCGATAACCTATAACCCACTAGGTTTCATCCAAAAAGCGAGTTGACAGTTAGGGAGGTTTCCTCGTGAGTAAGCATACTTTACTTCGACAGAAAAGTATATATATAAGCTTGACTTGAAGTAGTTTTATATAGAAAGACGTGGTTCATTAACAAGGGAAAGTATGAACAATATGTTTCCCCTCAGATCAATTTTAAACACACATCATTAGACACCATTATTCAACGCTATTATTCACCCTGATTATGAATATCAGCTTTACAACAAACAAAAATTAAATTTTGAATGAGAAAAACTCAAATTTCAGATTTAAAAGATGAATAAAGAAAAACACATTTCATAGCATAGAGGATGAAATTTTTCTTTTTTTACGATGTGAGCTGACTTTTTTATGAATTAAAGATGTACGTTTCCGGAAACCAGATTTCAGCTATCTCGGAAACTTTGATCCGGAGATATAGCAGTTTTGTGGGTAGACAAAAAAATAGAATTCTCACCTTATTAGCCAAGACGAGAGGGAAAATGTATAACTTGATAGTATAAAGGGTGTTCTAGAAGTTCTGAAGTAATTTTAAAATGCATCATTCTAAAATTACTTCAGAACTTCTAGAACACCCTTTATATGATACTTCTACTATTCATTAAATACATCATGATGTGAGCATAAGTAGCGATGCCCTAAACGGATCCAACCAACCACTTCTGAACAAGTGTTTAATAGAATTGTCAAGTTCGGAAATTTATCAATTAAACAAACTATTGGTATTTCTTACATTTTTATTCATTAATGAATATTTCTAGTTTATTATAAGCTCTCGATCATGTTCAGTTACGAACTGTCTTTACTAGTCAAATGCATTACAACTGAAAGATTCATTCCACTAGAATATTGTTGTTATTAATTTTCGAATATGTTCGAGTATCCATTGTTTACATGTTATAGCAAAATTAAATACTATCTATAAACGTTTTTCGACAACTGAGGTAAAATTGTATTTAGCTTTATGTAAGTTATATTTGTTTATTTATTACTACTCTTTTTATCTTTTAACTCTATCAAGGTTGCTATTATTGATGTTCATTCTCCAAAATGTGAACATGAAAAAATGAAGCCAAATGTTCGTCGGGAGAACAAGAAACAAAATTAATCACAATTATGTATGAGGTGTAGTAATTGCAACAATTTTTTATTACAAAAGAGCCGCAACTAGTTTTTCGAAAGAATTTGTTATTATTTTTAGGTCACCACTATCGGATAATCAAAGCTTGAGAGGAGTAGGAGAGTAGTAAAAGAGTAGATTTCGTTTGATCAATTAAAATCTATGTGAACCAGGCGTTTTGCTCTCAATGTTATACCATACCACGGCTGGTTTGTTTTTCGTTTTTTCTAGACGCTCTGTTTCTGAACAACCAGATTTTTTTTTATTATTATTATTTATTTGTGGGCATCTCAGATTTAATTGTGTATAAAATGACGGGCATGGATACGAACTGTCTTTACTAGTAATTCGAATACTGTAGATCTTTTCTGTTGTAGTTGTGAACGAAGGTGAAAATCTGGAAACCATATCGGTTGAAAAACTTAATCAAATACTCGCTCAAGGTCAAAAATTAGATGAATTACTGGAAGTTATTGAATCAGATAAAGAATAAATATCGTTTATATTTGAACGAAGAAACCAAAAGTGAGTCTTACCCATTCGTTTTTCCTTAACTGAGAGTTTGGTTGTGCAGATAAGTGACAAGAGCAGTTACTGCAGTTTTTCACTCATTCCATGATCCATACAACAACCGAAATATGGTTGGGAGATGTGTGTCACCCGATGAGTACTATTAAAACAGCTGTGAGAATTAAACAAAAATGCTTTTTTGTAGAGAACAGGTGAGAGTAGTTATAACTAAAGTCGTTTTTTTTTGAAAACCAGAACTAGGATAGATTCCCAATTTTTTTTCAAAAAATTCTCGCACATCTTTTTGTTGTTAAAATTTCGAATATTTCTGGAAGAATTCGAACTTCTTTTCACAAAAAAGTGCTATATTAATAAGCTTTTATTAATAATATATACTTACATATAGATGCCTCACAAAATTAAAATTTTCTTTTTTGAACTTGGAACATCACTAGTGTATTCATTTTGTACAGCACGACATGTTTGAGATTGAGTTAATCCAGCTGCTACTGATGTTTTGACAATATCTGTAACAGGTAATGGAGTGCGAGTTATACTAGCACAATTATCATGATTACGTTCACTAGACGTTGAAACAGCAATTTTTTCATCATTGTAATAGATCACACGAATTTGAAAATTGCATTCAGGATATTTTCTAGCTTGAGTACATCGATATGTTACTTTTTTTCCAAGAGCTATTGTTTCGGTTTGTTTTATTGAAACATTATTTTGTTTTATAAATGATTTCATATCATTCTCATCAGAAAATTCTACAAAATTGCACTCTCTCCGAGCCATGGTTTAGAGTAAGTTTTAGTTGAAAGTTTCTTTCTGAATTCAGTTATAGGACTATCTTTGAACTAGGATGATCCAGTGATTACTTCGAATTCTCTTTATGCATGATACATCAATCGAATTTACGAAAAAATCCTTGATCAACATTGCCGGTCTGTGAATACTGTATAGCACTTTATGCATCTTGTACGCGCATCTTGTATCACGCTTTTCGACAGTATAGTTTAACTTACGAGGGAACCTTTCGAGGTGACTCAGAATCTAGTGGGTTATAGATTATCGACCATGCTAATTCCAAATATGACCATGAGGGTTGTCCTTAGCCATTCGAATATCCGGTTTTCTAGAAAACCAGTTTTTCAGAAACTCTAAAATATAACCAGAACCTTTCTTAATGAGGCATCATTGTAGCCCGCAAATTTCTGATTAAAATGAGACATCTGCCAGCTTTACACGACCTTTCTTTGCCAAGTTATAGAATTTACAAGTAAAGCCCTAAGCGTTCATTGTCAGCTCAAAGCAGGAGAGATAAGCGATTAATTTAGGGCTTTTCTTGTACGCCTTTCTTTGCAAAATTATAGAACGTACAAGAAAAGCCCTAAATTAATTGCTTATCTCTCCTGCTTTGAGCTGACAATGAACGCTTAGGGCTTTACTTGTAAATTCTATAACTTGGCAAAGAAAGGTCGTGTAAAGCTGGGAGATGTCTCATTTTAATCAGAAATTTGCGGGCTACAATGATGCCTCATTAAGAAAGGTTCTGTACAAGTTCCCACTCGTTTTCCGGAGAGAAAAGTCATACGACTAAAATTCGCATTCACTATTGTATTTACCATCGCCATATAAAGACGTTTACTTTTGTCTTGGGAACGTGGGCTGACCCTTACTACATGCACAGTCCTCTAGACTGTTTTTCTGTAATTTTCCTCTCAACTCATCTTGAGAATATATACGGAGCATATCATCAAAACAATTCCACGATAACTAGGTATGGGACGAATCGAGCGAAGAAAACATGAGCGCGCTCGCGCTTGAGAGCATCTCAACGAGCGCGCTCGTCGCCCGAGTGAAACAGACGAATCGTGCTCGTCGCCTGAGCGGAACAGATGAATCGCGCTGGTCGCTCGAGTGCACTTTAACGAGCGCGCTCATCATCCGAGTGAAACAGAAGAATCACGCTGGTCGCTTGAGTGCACTCGTTGTTCGCATTTTGGAGTTGGAAAACGCACTTTATAGTTAGCTAAAAGTTTACCGACGCGGTTTTCTTCCTCCAGTTAGTTAAAAAACTTTGCTGTACTTCACATGTTATATCATAACTTAGTATAGGTTGTTTGACCCATCGAACGACCGAGTGTGCTGTGTCTTCATAAAGTACCATTTTCACTTCAAACCAGTTGTTATCACCTTGAGAAAAATGTGTCCATATTTTTCCAGCTTCGTCTAAATCAATACTGATTTGTAATGTGTAAAGGTAGTTCCATTGATT